TCTCGAGGCGATTGCCGAAGACGACCTCGTCGCAGCGCTCGACCTGGGCCTCCACGGGCAGGTTGTCGTAGCGGACGTCGCCGGGCCTCAGCGGCGCGGCGAGGGCCGTCGCTAGCGCGCTCGCGGCCCCGGCGCCCGCGGCCGGCGGGCCGTAGCGGCCCGCGTCGTGCTCCGCGTTTACGGCGAGGAACTGCGCCTCGAACAGGGCGACGACGGACCGCGGCGGCGCGTCCTTGGCCGCGGCGCCGAGGTAGTCGGCGTCCGGCGGCAACATCTGCAGCGGCAGGAGGCCGCCGTCGTTCGTCGGGTCGATGTCGTCGACCGCGGGCAACTCGTCGTCGGCGGCCGCGGCCGCGGCGAGCGCGTCCGCGCCGTCGTCCTTGGACGCGGCGCCCGCGAGCTTCTCGAGAACCCTCAAATCCAGCGCGAGGAAGGCGCGGCGCGCGGCGGGGTAGTGCGCCGCGAGGGCCTCCGCGGGCGTCGCCGCCGCGCCGCCGTGGAACTTCGCCGCGAGTTTTAATTTGGACTTCTCCACGAGGTCCTTCGTCTTCGCCGCGAGGTCCTGGGTCGCCTTGGCCGTCTCTACTGTCACGTCGCTCGCGATCTGCTGCGTCTTCGAGGCCAAAGCCAGCGCGCCGTCCTCGGCCCGCTCGAGCGCGTCGTCCACCAACGCCGCCGCGCGGCCGAGGAGGCCCGCGCTCTGGGCGTCGATGGCGTCGAGCTCCGCGGCCGTCGCCTCGTCGTCCGTCGCCGGCGCCGGCGCCGCCGCCTCCTCCTCCGGCGCGGGTTCCGCCTCCTCCGCGACGGCCGGCGCGGGCCGGTCCTCCGAGAGCCGCGCGGCGACCTCCGCGCCGCAGTCCTCGAGGATCGTCGCCCAGTGCGCCTCCACGAGCGACGCGCCGCCGCCGGGGGCTAGGACGTCGTAGTAGGTGCGCTCGCCGCCCGCGACGTCCGCCCGCTTCCGCCGGAGCACGCGCTCCAACCGCGCGACGCGCGTCACGGCGGCCTCGAGCGACGCCGCGAGCGCGCCGGCGACGGCGACGGCGCCGGCCCGCGCCGGCGCCGCCTCGGCGTCCAACACCGCCGCGGCGCCCGCGCGGCTCGCGGCGCGCGACTCGCGGAGCGCGCCCGCGACGGCGTCGTCGAGCGCGCCGAGCTCGTAGGCCGCGCCCAGCGCCGCGGCCGCGTCCGCGAGGTGGCCGCCGTCGAGCGCGACGCGCAACGACCGCTCGGCCGTCGCCCGGAGCCGGTCGCGCGTCGCCGCGACGAAGCCGACCTCGCCCGCGAGCACGTCGAGGCCCCTCAGGCGGCCCTCGCCGCCGTCGTCCAAAAGCCGCTCGACGTCGCCGACGAGCGCGGCCGCGGCGCCGAGCTCGCGCAGCTCCACGCCGCCGCCGGCCTGCTCGACGCGGTCCAAAGCGCCGACCTTCTCCCGCAGGCGCCGCAGCGCGAACAAGGCGCGCTGGCACCGTCGCAGTAGGCGGTTCGCCTCGAAGACGAGGCGCAGGCGCTTGGTTTTGGCCGCGCAGGCCTCGAAGGGCACGAGCACCTTGCGCGCCATGGCCCGCGTGCGGCGCCGCACCTCCTTGGCGGCGACCTCCACGGCCTCGACGTCGCGCTGGAGCGCCGCGAGGCCCTTGGCGCTCCGGATGAGCTTGTCGCGCGACTCGTCGAGGTGGCCCTCGATGGCCTCCTCGACGGTCGCGGCCCGCGCCGCGACCTCGCGCACCGTCGCCTCGGCGTGGCTCTCGCCGCCCTCGCCGCCGGGGGCGCCGTCGCGGTCCCGCACGATGACGGCGTTGCTAAAGGCCGCGGCGTCGAAGTCGTCGTGCACGAGGTCGCCGTAGGTCGGGTCCGACGCGAACGTCGCGAGGACCTCGCGCGCGCGCAGGTGCGCCGGGCCGGGCGGCGCCTCGGCGTCGCCGCCGCTCATGGGGTGGTTGGACGACCGCGGACGGCGTCGCAGGCCGTCGCGAGCTCGAGAAGTGCACGGCACCAGCATCGTCGAGTGCAATGTGGTGAGCAGCCCGTCGTTCGAACATCGTTCACGCGCTAAGGCGCCGCGAGCTGGGTCGCCGGAGCGGCCGCGCAGGTGCTGAGCAAGCTCGCTTTCGGCAACGCGCCGTGTGCGCCCGATGGCCGCGTCGCTCCCGGGCCCGGCGACGCTGCCGACGCCTCCCAGCGAGGACTACAAGTACGTCGCGAAGACCACGACACTGCCGAAGCCGATTCGCCTGATCGCGAAGGACCAGGCCGGCACGGCGCCGGCCCTCGCGGTCCCGGCGACGGCGCTCGCCACGGCCGTCGCCACCGCCACCGCCGAGGCCGAGCCCGACGCGCCGCCGCCGACGGCCGAGGAGGTCGCGGCCATCGCCGAGAAGCGACGACAGGGCCGCGAGTCGGAGGCCGACGACGCGCTGTCCCGCGTCCGCGCGACGCGGCTCCGCGCGCTCAAGCACGCGTCGGAGCAGCTCCCCGCGGGCCGCATCGTCACGCCGCGCACGCCCAAGGAGATCGCCATCGCGCGCTGCGGCAACGTCTCCGGCCTCATCTCCGACGACAGCGACGACGACGACGACGGCAACGCGGGCGGCTAGTTTGGCGAAGGTAAGCTGTTCTTCTGTGGGATCTCCTTTCGACGACGCGGCGCCTCCCGTGCTTTAGACGACGCGCCGCGGCCGCCGGATGATGTCGAGCGCCCGGCCGCGGCCGTTCAGGTTCTTCTGCTTCGATGCTTCCAGATCTATTGTCACGTGGCGACTCCGCGCCTTGCCGCCGGGATCCTGTCGCGGCTCGCAGACGGCGACGGTGCTCGACTCCGTCTGGGTGACGTACGCGATCTCGATGTCCCAGGACGCCGCGGGAGTGTACGGGATCCACGCCTTGTCGTCCCGCCAGAACCAACGACCGAAGAGGCGCGTCGCGTCGCTGTCCCCGACGGCGCGGTGAAAGGTCCGGCTCACGCAGGCCAGGGCCAGCGCCTCGCGGCACGCGGCTCGCAGCGGCGCGTCGTCGAGTTGCGTGCCGCGCGAGGCCGCCGCACCCTTGAGCCGCGTGAACCTCAGCAGGTCGCCGCCGCCTTGATCGTCGCGCAGCTGCGTGATCCTCGCGCGGGCGGTTGGGTCGTGGCGCTGCCTCCATCCCTCGAGCCAGGCCTCGACGACGACGGTCCACAGCTCGTTCGGGAGGTGCCGTCGCTCCGGCGGCGGAGGCTCGGCGCGCCGCGACGACAGCTCTTCGGCTTCTCTCGGCGTGCACAGGCAGAGCGCCTCGTTCGCCTCCAGCGCGTCGCAGCTCCCGAGGGGCGCGCCGGTGCTGCGGCGGAAGAGGCTGGCGGCCTTAGCTTTCACCTTCAGCTTCGCGGCGGCGGTCTTCCGCAGCGCGTCGACGCCGCCCTTCTCCGGCACCTTGACGATCTGGCCGTCCTTCGCTGGACCGCGATGCACGACCACATATCTCGCAGGCCCTCCCATCAGTGAGAGCTGCCCAGATTAGCTGCCCATTAGCTGCCCGTCACGTTCACTCCCTTCAACAATCTCACCGTGCCTTTTTCAATAGCGCGCTCGAGAGCAATCCTCGCATCTCGTGCGCATGGCGTCGCTTTTCGACGGCGGCGCCGCCCCGCTGGCGGCCCCGTCGGGCCAGCCGCGGACGCGGCGCCTGCTCAAGGCCCTCGACGACGGCCTCGCGGCCCTCAACGCGCTGAATCCCATGAACCTGCGCGGTGCGAGCGGCGGGTCCCTCATCGGCAACATCAAGCTCGGCGTCCAGAAGGCCGTGGGGCAGGCGCCCGTGGACCTGGGCCCGAGCGCCCACTTCGCGAGGATCACGCCGGAGCACTTCCGCGAGAAGGTGGGCACGCTCTCCGTCGAGGTCCTCGAGGCGGGCGGCTGGGCGGCCGCCTCCGTCGCCGGCGACGTGCTCACGGCCGAGGACGTCTACGTGCTGCTCTGCGTCGACGGCCTCGTGGCGCGCACGTGCACGCGCTTCGACGCGCGCGCGCCGACGTGGCCCCGGGACAGCCGGCGCGCCTTCGCGTTCGACCTCAGCGACCCGCGGGGCTCGCTCTTCGTCGCCGCGCTCGACGAGGACGACGAGAGCCTCGCGAGCGACGGCTTCATCGGGCGCTGCGGCCTGGCGCTGCGGTCCCTGCGCGCGGGCGCGACCTACGACGCCTGGCTGCCCCTGCGCAAGGAGAACTCGCGCCAGGAGGAGGACGCGATCGCCGCGCGGATCCGCGTCGCGTCGCTCGCGCCGGACCGCGCGGCGTCGGCGGACGCGACGCAGGCCAAGTCGCGGGGCGCCGTGCGCATGCGCATCCGCGTGGACTGGGACGACGGCGGCGTCGGCGCCGCGCGGTCCGTCGCGTCCTGGTTCGTCGGGCGGCCCCCTAGACGCACCGTCGAGCTGCCGTGGACGTGGAGCGGCCGGAAGCAGCGCGAGGCCGTGCGCTTCGCGCTCTACGGCGAGAACGCCGACGGCGGCGACCGCAACGAGGAGCCCGTGGCCACGGCGAGGCTCCGGGACCACGTCGTCGAGCTGCTGGACATGGGCAACGGCTTCGCGGACGCGTTCAAAAAGGCGGCGCTCGACGTCGCTTTGTGGCGCCGGCCGCTGCGGAGCGCGTGCGCGCTCTTCGCCTGGCTGTCGACGTGCAGCAACGGCTCGCGCCTCTGGGGCTGGGGCTTCCTGCTCGCGTCCGCGAGCCTCTTCGACAACTTGCGGGGCCGCGAGGCCGCGTCTCGCACAGGGCAGCACAAGAGAGCGAAATTCCAAACTTCAAAGGCTCCGATCTCGGCCATTTTCCACTCGTTTTGGCTGATTTTTGGACGAGCGATCATCTCTCGGAACGGTCTCGAAGCGTGGATGTGTTTTCCGTAACGCGCGCGCGCGGAACACTCACGTTGAAGCGACGTTGAATCACTCTTGTCCTGCCCAGGTCGCGCATCGAGGCGCCGCAGCTCGCGCTCGGCCAGTGGCTCCGGCTCGTCTGCGGGCTGCGGCTCCCGCCGCCGACGCCGACGTCGGCCGACGACGCCGCGCGCGCCCGGGCCTCGGCGACGCGCGCGGCGGCGAAGGTCGTCGAGGCGCAGCGCATGGAGGCCTGGCGCCGGCGCAACGCGGCGCTGGCGCCGTCGCCGGACCGCGCGGCCGAGGCCGCCGCGGCCGCCGAGGCGGAGAAGAAGGGCAAGTCGGGCCACGGCGCCAGGGTCCACTACTCGCTGAACCCCCTCGCGCCCGCCCTGCGGCCCGTGCAGAAGCAGCTCTTCCTCTTCTGCCGCCTCGCGCGCTGCGTCGACAACGCGCTCGACGGCCACCTCGACCCCATCTTCACGTCGTCGCTCGCCGTCTTCTTCGGCCTGAGCAGCGCCCTGGCTTTCGCCTACAGCGAGCTCTGCCACGACGCCGTCGTCCTCGTCCTCGGCAACGTCCTCGCGGTGCTCGCGCGGGTCTTAGGCGTCGCGGCGCTCGGGCCCCAGAACTACTTCTTGGAGCGCTACTTCGACGCGTCGGCGCGCCTGAGCGCCCTCGCGCTCTCGGGCTTCTCCAGCGAGTACCGCGCGGCCTTCCGCGTCCAGCGGACCTGGCGCCGGAAGCTCGCGGCGCGCGCGGAGGCCGCGGCGGAGGCGACGCGCGCGGCGAAGGCGGCCGCCGCGGAGAAGAAGCGGCGCGCGCGCGCGAGCAAGATGCAGCGCCAGGCGTCGGAGCTCCGCGTGAGCCTCGCGGTCAAGGAGCGCGCGCAGGACGCGCAGCTCGTCGCCGAGTTCAAGGAGGCGCTCCGCGAGGGCGCGCCGGGCCACAAGCACCACAAGTCGGGGCTCGGCTTCGGCGGCAAGTCGCTCCGCGCGATCACCGCGACGGCCGACGGCTTCCGCGTCGCCCACACGCAGGTGCCCTGGCACATGCCCTACCACTTCGTCCACGGCTCCAAGCCGGCGCCGAAGCACGTCAAGTTCGCCCAGGTCAAGGCCGTCGAGCCCCTCGACCCGTCGAAGCCGAGCCGCATCACGTACTGGCACGAGAAGCCCCGCGACGCCGCGGCGGCGCCCGCGCTGAAGAAGACGACGATCCACCTCGCCAAGGACCGCCACGCCGAGGCCTTCCACGAGGGCCTCAAGGCCGTCGTCCGCCTCAACATGGCGCCCGAGGACGCCGCGGGCGCGGACGACGACGACAAGGAGGACGAGAGCCTGGCGAAGACGGAGCGCGCGTCGGCGTCGGGCTTCAACCCGCTGATCCACACGGTCGTCGTCGAGCCCGTCGTCGTGCCCTACCCGGCGCTCGGCGGCTTCTGCGTCGCGACGGCCCTCGAGCGCGACGCGTGGATGGAGCCCCACCGCTCCGCCATCGTCGACCCGCCCGCGGGGGTGCGCTAGCGCGTGCTTAGTGAAGTCCCTTCGTCCGGCGCGAGGCGCGCTTCGGCGCGCATCGGCCAGCATGTTGCAAACTACGCGCGTTACACGTCCGGCGCCCCGAACCCCGGCGCGTCCTCCGGCGGCGCCGCGTCGTCGTCGCGCAGGCCCCGGGCCATGTTCGCGAGCGCCTCCTGCAAATCCGTGGCGTGGCCCGCGAGCTGGTGCTCCTCGTCGGAGAGGCTGTCGTCGTCGTCGTCGGCGCGCGCCGCGACGCGCGCGCGGATCGCCGCCGCGGCGGCCCGCGGCGTCGACTCGCGGCTCGCGAGGATCTCCGCGCCGACGCCGTCGAAGAGGTCGTCGACGTCCTCGAGCGCGACGTCCGGCGGGAGGTCCGTGTGGGGGCAGCGCGCGAGCTCCTCGCGCAGCTTCGCGACCTCGGATGCGTGGCGCCGCGCGACGTCCGCGGCGGCGCGGTCGGAGCGGTCCCGGTCCCGCGCGTGTCGCTCCCGGGTCTCCGCGGCCTCGGCCTCGAGCTCCGCCAATCGCGCGCGGCCGCGGGCCGCGCGGTCCGCCTCGCACGAGGCCTCGACCGCGAGGCGCCGCGCGCGACGCCGCCGCGGAGAAGACCGCGCGCGCCGCGGCGTCGCGGTCGTCGTCCGCGCGGCGCCGCGCGTCCTCGGCGCGCCGCGCGGCCGCGCGCGCGTCCGCGGCCTCGCGCGAGAGCGCGGACTCGCGGCGCCGCGCCTTCTCGCGGTCGCGCGCCAGCTCCGCGCGCGCGTCGGCCGTGCGCGCGTCGGCGGCGGCGGCGGCCTCGCCGGCGTCGTCGCGCGCGCGCCGCGCGTCGTCGCGCTCGGCCGCGAGCTCCGCCTCGCGCCGCTCGAAGTCCGCGCGCGCGGCCGCGGTCTCGCCCGCGGTCGCCGCCGCGGTCTCCTGCGACGCCTCGAGGGAGGCCAGGTGCGCGACGTCGCGCTCGGCGACGGCCATGGCCAGGTCCGCGGCGGCGAGGTCCCGCGCGTTCTCGAGCGCCGCCGCGGCCGCCGCGCGCTCCCTCGCGACGGCGCGGTCCAAGCGTCGATCCCCGTCCGCGCGGATCGCGGCGCAGAGCGCGCCGCACAGGACGTCGTCGTTCGCGGCGCCCGCCTCCCGGGCGTCGCCGGCCTCGCGCGCGGCCGCCGCCGCGGCCTCGCGCGCGGCGGCCAGCGACGCGGACGCGTGCTCGAGGTCGGCTCGTAGCGCGTCCGCCGTCGCCCGCTCGCGCGCGGCGGCGGCGCGCAGGCCCGCGGACGCCGCGCGCTCGCCGTCCAGCGCTTCCCGCGCGGCGTCGGCGGCGGCGCACTCCGCCGCCACGGCCCGGCGCAGCTCCGCGGCCGTGTCGGCCTCGCGGTCGAGCGCGGCTTCAGCGCCGATCTCCGCGCGGTCGACCTCCCGCGGCGCGGCGGGCGCCGGCGCCGGCGGCGGCGTCGGCGGCGCGGCGGCGGGCTGCGGCGTCCGCGGCGGCGGCGGCGACGTCGCGCTGCCCTTGAGCGCCCGGTTCATCAATTTGGCCAGCCGGTCGTCGTCGGCCGTCGGCCGGTCGCTCGTCGCCGCGAGGTGCAGCTTCTGCGCCTCGACGCGCGACTTCAGGCGCGCCATCTGCTGCTGCGCCCAGCTCGAGCTCGGCTGGCTGGGCGACGGTCGCGCGGGCGGGGCGGCGGGCTGCCTCATCCTGCTCGCGCAAAAACTGCAACTTGAGTCCAATCAAAACGGTGCGGCTGGGTGCTGCTCTCCGTGTCCGGAGTGAGTCGCGCCTGTGCACGCTGGCGCCCGAGTCCGCGCAAGCCAAGCGTCGACGCGTCCTCGCGGGCGTCGTCTCGAAGGCATTCCAGTCGAAGTTCGGCAGCGCGGGTCCTCACGCCGTCGCGCTGCGCGTCGCCGACTTCCTGAACAAGAAGGAGCGCGCGCCGGTCATTTCCGTCACTCTCGAACTCAGAGAAGGAAAATTCGAGCCGCTGATCGTGACCGACCAGTGGTTGCGCGTACTCCGAGCCCGCGGGTGTCTCGACATCTACGCCTACAAGTATGTCGGCCACAACGCCGACCGCGTCGGTAAGTGGTACTGGCGCCACTCGAGCGACCAAAAGGCGCGCAAGCGCGCCGCGGGCCGCGAACTCGTCGTCGTCGGCGGCGGCGAGTCCGAGCTCAACGCAGCGTAAGAAGCCGAAGCGCGCCGCGCCGCCGGAGGGCGAGCCGAAGGTCATCACGACGATGGAGGACTTCCGCGAGCGCGTGCATTTGAAGGTGCAGGAGGTGCCCGCGGGCAAGCTGACGACGTACGGCGGCGTCGCCGCGGCGCTCGGGTCCAAGAGCGTCGCGCGCCACGTGGGCTGGGCGCTGCGCGACGGCAACTGCGAGGCCGAGGGCACGCCGTGGTGGCGCGTCGTCAACGCCAAGGGCGAGATCAGCTACCGGTCCGACGACGTCGAGGCCGCGGGCGAGACGTCGGGGTCGAAGCAGGAGGACCGGCTCCGCGCGGAGGGCGTCGAGTTCGCCGCGCGCCGCGCGGGCGACACGCGGAAGATCGCGAACTTTTCGACGCTGCTCCACGAGTTCTAAACGATTACAGATAAAAGCGGGGCCTAGGGCGGCGGCTTGCCGCTGCGCGAGAGGGGGTCCTTGTCCACGGGCAGCGGCAGCGTCGCCGTCCGCCGCAGGTCGTCGTCCCCGTCGGCGCGGTAGCCCAAGAAGTCCTTGACGACGTCGTTGACCGTGAAGGAGACGGCCGTCGCCGCCGGGTTCTTGATGAGGTTGAGCGAGATGCCCTTGAAGAGGCCGCCGAGGCCCTCCGCGCGGAAGATGGACGCGAGCGCCGCGAAGACCGAGAGCCGGTTGATCGGGTGCGCGGCGCCGAAGGCCTGCTGCCGCCGCCGCACCGTGTCCAGCGGGTAGATGATGGACTCGGAGCAGAGCCCCGCGACGTAGCCGCAGACGACCTTGGCCAGCGCGGGCCGCTCCCGGAGCCACTCGTGCTCCGCGGCCAAAGGCTTCGCGGTCTCGAAGACGCCGAAGCCGATGGCGCCCCGGGGCCCCGCGCCGACGAGCGTCGCGCCGAAGCCGCCGTAGAAGCCGGCCAGACCCTCGGCCCTCCGGAGCGCCGCCGCCTCGCCGAGGAACGACGACGTCGGCGTCGACTGTTTGACGGACACGCGGACGCGCAGCGTGTCGAGCGGGTGCGTCACGACCGTCGCGCCGACCATGGTCATGTAGCCCGCGACGAAGCGGCTCGAAAAGGTCTCGCCGTCGCGGCTCAGCCATCGCCGGCTCAGGGCCGCCGCGTGCGGGTACAGGCTGTAGACCAAAACGGAGTGCGGCACGTTGCGGTAGACCGCGGCCGCGGAGCCCGCGAAGAAGCCCCGGTAGCCCCGGGTCTGGACCGTCTCCGCGACGATGGCGCTGTAGGCGCGGGTCGGCCCCTCGGACGTCTGCCGGATCCACTTGACGCGCTGGATCGGCTGCTTCGACAGCGTCGCCGCGAAGCCCGATATCGTCCCGCTGCACCAAGTGATCTGCGAGTTGCTCAGGGACCAGTCGTCGTCGGGCCACGTCATGGACGCCGCGCGCGTCGACGCGCGGGCCAGCGACGGCGCGCGCGCGCAGTCGAGGACGGCGCGGACACGATCGTCGATGTCGCGGCCAAACGAGGGCACGGCACAAATGTATTGCTGCACCTTGAATCGCGTTGCCCTCGCCTCAAGGTATCCAGCACAACCGATCCGCGCTCAACGCTTGCGACGGGTTTGATAAGAGGTGTTTGGCCGAGCGGCTGCAGCACGACGCGAGGCGCGGCGCTTGGGGCGCCGTCTCTCGCGACCGGCTGACGCGCGGAGCCCTTCGGACGACGCGCCGCCGCGCCGGCGACAAGGGCTGCGCCGGCCTCCGCTAGGCGCGTCGCGCCGCCGCCGAGAGCCCCCCCGGCGCCGGCGGCGCCGGCGGCTCGGTAGCGACCATGCCGGCGAGCGGCCACGCCCCGAAATCGTTCGCGCAGCCCAAGGCCATGGAGCCCATCGAGCTGCTGTGCCTCGAGGACAACACGACCCAGGTGCACAGCAGCGTCGGCATCGACACGCCGCTGTTCCAGCCGTACCCGACGGAGGTGCGGTTCCGGGACTACGCGCCCTTCTCCTGCATCGAGCGCACGCTGCGCTTTCGGAACAACGACCACGTGGCGCGGCGCATCAAGGTGCTCCAGCCCAAGAGCCCCTATTTCGAGGTGAGCGGTCCGCACGCGCGCGGCAAGGACGTCACGCTCAAGCAGAGCAAGGTCGCGACGGGCATGGAGGTCTGCTTCGTGGTCAAGTTCCGGCCCCAGGAGGTGCGCGAGTACAAGGTCGATCTGGTGTGCTGCACGGAGCGCGAGAAGTTCATCGTGCCCGTGCGCGCGTTCGGCCTCCGCGCCGCGCTGAGTTTACCGGAGGAGGTCGACTTCGGCACCGCGGCCGTCAAGAGCACGAAGCAGCGGTCCCTACTGGTGCAGAACATCGGCGCCTGCACGGCCGTCTTCAAGCTGTCCTGCGACACGCCGGAGATCTTCCAGGCGTCGCCGAGCGAGTCGATCACGCAGGTCGGGCAGATGGCGACGCTCGAGCTGAGCTTCACGCCCCAGAAGGTCGAGCCCTACAGCGGCACGTTATTGGTGGAATTCCTCGGCGACGAGACGCGCGTCGTCACGGTGGCGCTCAAGGGCATCGCCGAGGACGTCGACGTGCACCTGTCCGCGAACTCTGTGGCTTTGGAGCCCGCGTACGTTTCTTTGAGCTCCCAGACGACCTTCCGCATCCGCAACGCGAGCGAGATCCCCGTGCTCTTCAGCTGGAAGCAGTTCTCGAACATGGCCGAGCAGGAGGCGGAGCGGAGCCGGCTCCACAGCGACCTGGAACGCATGCAGCAGCTCGAGGAGGCGCACCTGGAGGAGACGCTCCGCCAGGACGAGCTCGCGGCGTTGGCGCACCACGGCCACGGCTTCTCCAACCAGCCCCAGTCCGACGAGTCCGACGGCGACCTGAGCGGGGACGAGGGCAACGTGCCCGGCGCGACGCGGGCCGCGCGGTCCGCGCTGACGACGAAGTACCGCCACCTCCGGCAGGCGCTCGAGAAGGACGACATGGTCTTCGCGGACGAGAACTTCGAGATCAAGCCCCTGAGCGGGGAAGTGCGGGCCCTGTCGGAGATCGAAGTGAGCGTGACGTTCCGGCCGGACACGGCCGCGGACTACGCGTGCACGGCGTACCTCGACGTCATGGGCCGCGAGGAGCGCCTCCCGATCTGGCTCACGGGCCTGGGCATCGGCCCCAAGGGCGCGCTGAGCTACGACGTCTTGGACATGGGCGACGTCTTCATCTCGAGCCCCTACGAGTACTCGCTGGGCATCACGAACAAGGGCGACATCCCCGCGGAGTGGAAGCTCTTCCCGCCGCCGACGACGACGTTCCAGTTCTCGCCCACGTCGGGCGTGTTGGCCGTGGGCGGCTCGGAAGAGCTCACGGTCCACTTCATGGGGACGACGCTCGGCGAGTTCTGCGAGCTCGTCGACGTCGCGCTCGACGGGTCGAACGAGAAGCTCACGTGCCAGTTCAAGGGCCACGTCATCGGGCCGACCTTCAATTTTGATATTGACATCATCGAGTTTGGGTTGTGCTCCTACTCCTTCGCCCACGTGCGCACGCTGGACCTCACGAACACGGCGGACATCCCCATGGACTTCAACCTGTCGATCCCGCAGGACGGCCAGTTCGGCCGCCACGAGTTCGTCGTCGAGCCCCGGACGGGCACGCTGCCGCCGGGCGAGACCGTGCGCGTGTCCGTGACGCTGACGCCCATGTCCGTCAAGGTCTACGACTTCTACCTCGTCGTCGACGTGCCCGGCGTCGGCGACGCGCTCTTATCTTTGCCCATCTCCGCGGAGTGCCTCGTGCCCGACGTCACGGTCGCGGAGCAGGAATTGGATTTCGAGCGCTGCTTTTTGCGGTACCCCTACGAGCGGGAGCTCGTGCTCGTCAACGGCCACGACCAGCTGTCCGCGCGCTACGCGGTCGCCGCGCAGGAGCCCCAGACGACGGTCGTCGGCGAGTACGCGTGCGAGCCCGGCGCGGGCGTCATCCCGCCGGGCGGCATCGTGCGCGTCACGGTCACCGTGCGCTGCCACAAGCTCGGCAACTTCCGGCTGCCGCTGACGACGTCCATCGCGGGCTCCGCGCAGCCGCCCTTGGCCGCGACCATGACCGCGGTCGTCTGCGGTCCGGACCTGTCGATCGAACCCAAGGAGCTGAGCTGGGGCGCGACGGAGTGTCTGGTCGACGCGCCGCGCACGGTGACGCTGCGCAACAACTGCTGCATCCCCGCGCCCTTCAAGACCTTCGTGAAGAACGCGCGGTCGAAATTTCGCGTCGACGTCCGCGAGTCCGTGCTCGCGCCCATGGACGCCGTGGACCTGCAAGTCGTCGCCTGCCTGGATGATACGACGATGCACCGGGACCAGCTCCACGTCGTCGTCGCCGAGGGCGAGAACTTGATGATGCCCCTGTCCGCGCGCGGCATCGGCACGACGATGTTCTGCCACGAGGACCTGAAGGTGTTGGACTTCGGCGCCCAGTTCACGGCGAACTTCTTCGAGCGCAAGATCACGCTGGAGAACAAGGGGCGCCGGCCCCAGGTGTTGAAGTGGGTCAACGAGACCTGGCAGCAGCATTTGGTGACGCAGTCGAAGAAGAACCGCGGCGCCAAGGCCGCGGACGACAAGGAGAAGAAGGGCCCCGGCGGCGGCAAAGATTCGTCGGCCGTCGTCGCCAAGCCCAAGGCCAACGTCGGCGCGCCGACGTTCACGGTCGTGCCCGAGGAGGTGGAATTGCGGCCTAGGACCGCGGCGATCTTCACGTTCCGGGGCTACTCGACGCACAAGGGCCTGCTGGAGGAGAAGATGGTCTGCGAGACGCGCGTCCACAAGGAGAAGCAATCCAAACCCGTCTTCTACACGACGGTCAAAGCCGACGTCATCGAGCCGCTCCTCTCGTTTTCTTCGCCGTCGCTCGGCTTCGTGCACGACCACGAGCCCGACGTGCCCATCCAGCCCCAGTCCCAAGCCTTGACGCTCAAGAACAACGCCGTCCTCCCCCTCGTCTTCGCCCTACGCTGCGCCGTGCCCTTTAGCGTCGACGCCTGGGAGCACACGCTCGAGCCGGACGAGGAGACGACGGTCCGCGTGGACTTCGACCCGGGCTACAAGGGCGACCGCCAGTCGCAGAAGCTCGACACGCGGCTCACGGTGGCCTACCACCAGCACCCGCAGCGCGACTCCGTCGGCCTCGTCGGGGAGATCAACTTCCCGAACCTCCACTTCGAGTACAGCGTCGTCAACTTCGGGTGCATCCTCAACGACACGACGATGACGATGCGCGTCCGCGTGACCAACTGCTCCAAGGTCGAGACGGCCTTCAGTTGGGCCTTTCTGGAGGACGAGGAGGCGTCCAAGGCGACGTCGACGACGAAGAAGCCCTACATCCCCATCAACCAGGTCTTCGACATCCTGCCGATCCGGAGCCGGCTCAAGCCCGGCGAGGTCGAGGACGTCGACTTCATCTACTACGGCCACGCGGGCCGCAAGTTCAAGGGCACGTGCCTCTGCGAGGTCGAGGGCGGGCCCGAGTACAACATCGTGCTTCTAGGCGAGGCGTCGACGGTGGGCTACAAGCTCGACCGCGCGTCGCTCGACTTCGGGAACGTGTTGTACACGAAGTCGGAGGATCTCGAGTTCAACATCGTCAACACGGGCAAGGTCGCCTTCCCCTTCACCATCTCCCTGGGCAAGTCCCTGGACCTCGCGGGCCTCCTGGCGAAGCGGGACGACGACGAGCCGCCGGCCGTCGGGTCCGCGTCGGACGTCTTAGAAGTCCACCCGACGACGGGCCGCGTCGCCGCGAACGACAAGCAGACCATCGTCGTGCGCCTCAAGCCGGGCCTGCCCGAGACCTTCCGCGAGAACCTGGTCATCGAGGTCGCCCACTTCGAGCCCGTCGACTTCCCCATCACGGGCACGGGCATCTACGCGTCCGTGTCCGTGTCGTTGCCGCGCGACGCGAAGAAGATGGCCCACAACCTCGGCGCGGACCTGGGCACGACCTGGGCGTCGGCCATCTCCAAGACGCGCGAGTTCCTCCAGCAGGAGCGCCTCAACGCCGCGGAGCTGCTGCCGCCGCCGCCGCCCGCCGCGACGACCCAGCCGTTCGCCGCGCCGCTGCCCATGGCGTCGAGCGCCGCGGGCGCCGCGGCCGCCATCGCGGCCAACGACGCCCAGACCGACCCGGCGTCCACGACGCCGCCGAGCGACTCGGCGCCGCCGTCCGGCGCCGCGACGCCGAAGCCGTCGACGGCCCAGACGACCGGCGCGATGCGCGAGCCGTCGTTCACCATGGCCGAGATCGAGGCCGAGACGAACCGGCGCATCTTTTTAGACCACCTCAAGAAGGAAGAGGAGAAGCGGCGGAGCCACAGCCGCCCCCACACGCACGAGGGCGACCACGCGGAGCGCCCGCACCCGCCGCCGACCGCGTCCTCCCACGGCGGCGACGGCCACGACCACGGCTTCGTGCTCGCCTGGCACGCGTGCGACTTCGGCAACGTCGTGAGCGGCACGCACCGGAAGCGCACGTTCCGCATCACGAACTCGTCGCTCACGGGGCCCCTGAGCTGGTTCTTCGAGAAGAAGGTGTTGGCGAACACGGGCTTCTCGATCGAGCCCGAAAAGGTCGTGCGGCTCGCCGAGGGCGCGACGGCGACTTTCGAGGTGAACTTCAACGCGAAGAAGTCGCTGCGTCTAGGCCACAAGGAGCTCCTGCTGCCCGTGGACGTGAAGAACGGCCCGCTGACGTGCATCGTGCTCCAGGCGAACGTGACGATGCCCGACATCTCGCTGAGCGCGGAGGCGCTCGACTTCGGCCCCGTCTGGGTCGGCTGCGGCCGCACGATGCACGTCCAGATCCACAACACGAGTCCCGTGCTCGCGGAGTGGGACTTCAAGAAGGCCATGGGCGCGGCGCGCGACGAGGCGCGGTTCACGCTGAGCCCGCGGTCCGGCGCGCTCCTGCCGGGCCGCAAGCAGAACGTGGCCGTCGAGTTCGTGCCCGTCGACGACCGGCCCTGCTCCTTGAAGCTGCCGCTCAAGGTGAACCAGTCCACGAAGACGTGGCTCGTGAACTTCGCGGGCGCGGGCGTGACCGCGAAGCTCCAGTTCTCGCCGTCCGTCGTCGAGATCGGGCCCGTGCTGCCCTTCGAGGACGGCACGGGCCGGCCGGGCACGACGGCGACGACCGTGACCATGAAGAACGCGTCCGATCGACCCGTCGAGGTGTTTTCTTTGGACTTCGACGACGAATATGTCACCGAGGAGGCCTTCCTCTCGACCTACGACGCCTTCGGCGAGGACGGGCTGCTGCGCCTGCCCGTGCGCAATTTAGGCGAAAAATTGCCCATCAACATGGACCCGCCGGTCGAGGAGGACGCGGGCCCCGAGGGCGAAGAAGAAGAGGGCGAGGAGCCGCCCGCGGAGGAGGCCGGCGAGGAGGCCGCGGCCGAGGAGGCGGCGGTCGCGCCCGACGACGGCCTCGAGGACGACGCCGACGCCTTGGGCGGCGCCGCGGACGGCGAGACGCTCCGGAGCAGCGGCCGCGCGAAGGACGTGTGCCTGGTCGCGCCGCCGCTCGCGGGCGGGCCCGAGCTCGCGACGAAGCTCGCCGAGGCCCACGGCTACGCCGTCTGCACGCCCCTGGGCTGCGTCCACGCTTTGAGCGCCGTGCGCAGCGACCTGGGCAAGAAGGCGCGGAAGGCGCTCGGCTGCGAGGTCCCGGGAGACGCGCCGCCGGAGCCCGCGGAGGGCGAGGAGCCGCCGGCGGAGCCCGCCGAGGGCGAGGAGGGCTACGTGCCGCCGGAGCCCGAGCCGAGTTTGGACGACCCCAACTTCCTCGCGGCGTGCCTCGCGTGGCGCGCGGGCCGCGCGGACTCGGGCCGCGGCCTCGTCGTCGACGCGTCCGAGCCCGCGCCGGGCGCGCCGGTTTTGGAAGTCGTCGCCGGCGCCGTGCCCCTGGCCCTGCCCGGCTCGACCATGGCGACGCTGACGCTCAGCGACGCCCAGTACCTCGCGCGGCTCAAGGCTTTGGACGACGAGGCCGCGCGGACGTCGCACGCGCTCGAAGGCCTCGTGGACCCGCCCCTCGCGGAGACCCAAAACATCGGCGAGGCGGCGGCGGCGCCCGAGGACGGCGAGGAAGCTGCGAAGCTGCCGTCGCGCGCGCTGCTCAAGGCGCAGATGGTGGACAAAGCCCGGCCGTCCGCGCGCGCGCCCGAGCCGCCGCACGACGCGGCCGACGACCCGAAGCGCGTCGTCGGCGGCGTCGCCGTGCTGCGGACGGCGGCGGCGACGGTGCAGTCGCGCGTGCTGGAGGTCGCGGACGACGCGCTGTCGAGCCTCCGGCCCGCGGTCGAACCGCCCGCGGACGAGTCCGCGGCCGCGCCAGTCCAGCCGCCCCACGTGGCCTTCGCCGAGGCGTCGGCGAAGGCGACGGCGGCCTTCGAGGCCGTCGTCGCCGCCGAGGCCCAGGCCAAGGCCGACGCGGAGGCCGCGGAGAAGCTCGCGGCCGCCGAGGCCGCGGCCGAGGCCGGCGAGGAGCCGCCCGCGGAGGAGGAGGCCGCGGAGGACGTCCTCGAGGAGGAGCAGCCGCCGCCGCGCTGCGTGACCTTTGGCGTCGTCGAGGAGCCCGTCGTCGAGGTGCCCGCGGAGGAGCCCGCGGCCGAGGGCGCGGACGAGCCCGACGCGGCCGCCGACGACGCGGCGTCCGCGGCCGCGTCCGCGGAGCCGAGCGCGCCGGAGCCCGCGGCGCCGGAGGCCGCCGTCGAGCCCGTGGATTTGGACGCGGCGACGCCCCTCGAGCGCTTCCTCGCCGCCGTCCCCGGGCCCGCGGAGCCGCTCCCGGACCCGTCGGTCGTGCCGATCCCGCCCGCGGTGACGCAGCAGCTCGTGCGCCGGCCGCCGCCGCGCGCGCCGCGGTCCACGCAGCAGCATTTTACGATCGTCGCGGCGCCGCCGACGACGCCCGAGCCCGTCGAGGGCGAGGAGGACGAGGAGGCGGACGCCGCGGAGCCGGAGCCGGCCGCGGAGGGCGGCGACGAGCCCCCGGCCAAGCCCAAGCGCTGGGTCATCCCGGCCCAGTCCGAGGTCCAGTTCGCCGTCAACTTCCTCTCGACGCAGGTCGGGAGGAGCCACGCGTCCCTCGGCTTCGAGGTCGTCGGCCTGCCGAGCCACGAGTTCACGTTACCGTGCGTGGGCTCCTGCGCCGTGCCGACGATCAACGGCGACCCGCGCAACGTCTTCATGACGCGCGTCAAGAACCGGCCGCCGCCGCGGGCCCAGCCCCTGTCGAAGCGCTTCGTATTGAACGCGAACGAGTTCGAGTTCGGGCCGCTGCTCACGTGGAAGCAGCCGCCCATGCGGCTGCCCGCGCCGGAGCGCGAGGAGGGCGCGCCGGAGCCCACGCCGGAGGAGGCCGAGGCGGCCCAGGCCGCCGCGGAGCTGCGGACGCTGGTGCGGGGCACGAACTGCGACACGTTCCGCATGAGCAACAACGGCCCGTTCGCGACGGCCGTCGACTTCCACTTCCGGACGTCGGAGCCGCCGGCGGACGGCGGCGCCGAGGACCCGGAGCAGCCCTGCGTCTTCTACGCGGACCCGCCGCGCATGGAGCTCGAGCCCGGGGAGACGCGCGATTTGGAGGTCTGGGCGTTCCCGCGCGCGCAGGGCGCGTGCGACGACACGCTGTTGGCCTGCGTCGCCATGAACCCGGAGCCCTACGCCTTCGCCGTGCGCTGCGCCGGCGTCGAGCCGGAGCTGACCCTGAGCGGGCCCTGGAGCGACGGCGACGGCGTCACGGCGCCGGACGACGAGCCCGCGGCGGACGAGCCGCCGCCGACGCCCGTTTTGGATTTCGACCGTTTGCTGCTGGGCCGCAGCGAGATGCGCGAGTTCACGCTGACGAACGCGAATCTGTGCCCCGTGGCCTGGCGGTTAGATCTCGCGGCGCTGGAGCCCTTCGCGCGCGAGCTTCGGGTGGAGCCCGCGAGCGGGCGTCTGGGCATCCACGGCAGCGCGCGCATCACCGTGTCCTTCAGCGCCGTCGAGCCGCTGACCCTCGACCCGACCCTCTTCGTCGAGTACAGCGACGACGAGGGCGGCCTCCAGTCCGAGGAGCGCGTGCGCAAGCTCGAGCTCGTCGTCAAGGCGGAGGCGTACCTCATCCGCGCGATCGTCTTGGACGAGGACCCGGACAAGCCGCCCGAGGACCCCAAGGCCGCGGCCAAGGGCAAGGGCAAGGGCGCGCCGGCGGCGGAGGAGGTGGACCCGGCGGACGAGAAGACGCAGCCGGGCACGCTCGACTTCGGGCAGATGCGCGTGGGGGAAACCGCGCAGCTCGGCTTCGCGCTCCGGAACCGCGGCAAGTACGACTTCAGCTTCAAGTTCGGCTTCCGGCGGGCGGCCTACACGGAGATCTTCTCCGTGTCGCCGTCCGAGGGGCTCATCGAGGCCGACGGCAGCGTCCGCGTCGTCGTGTCGTTCTGCTCGCGCGGCGAGGTCAAGCTGAGCGACAACAAGGACATCTCCTGCACGATCAGCGAGCCCATCACGGGCGAGGCCGTCGAGTCCTTCCCCGTGACCGTCGCCGCGACGTCGCTCTTCCCGCGGTTCCGCGTGCAGCCGGGCCGGGGGCTCACGTTCGGCACGGTCAAGTTCAACGACCCGCCGAAGGAGCGCAAGTTCGACCTGCGCAACGAGGGCAAGTTCTCCTTCGCCTTCGCCATCGCCGACGCCGACGGCGACATGGACGCGACGGCGCGCAAGCGGTTGTTGGGCGCGACGCCCCTGGCCCTCATCGCGACGGCCGACGAGGACGAGGCCGTCGAGATGGGCCTCCTGCCCGCGCGCGAGGAGCCGGACATCGAGGAGGTCGAGGACGAGGCGCCGGAGGATGCGGAGAAGCGCCGCGCCGAGCGCGCCCTGGCCATCGCCGAGGAGCGCCGCGCGTTCTACGCGCAGGCGCCGTCCGTCGGCGACGCCGAGGCGCCGCCCGACGGCGCGGTGTCCCTGGGCCAGTTCGTCGTCGCGCCGGGCGGCGGCGTCGTCGAGCCGGGCCAGTCGCTCCAGGTCACGGTGACCTTCAACCCCGAGGGCTGCGCCGTGCACAAGGGCAATTTGCGGATCGCGGTCGCGGGCTGCGACGGCCGCGACGCGGCCGTCGCCGCGGCGTCCGCGTACGAGCTCTTCGCGGAATCCCGGAGCCCGGGCATCAACTGCGCCGACTTTTACCAGATCTTCGAGGAGCAGGCCGTCATCGCGTCGTTAGGCGACGCGGACGGCGGCGACCCGGGCGCGGCCGCCAAGGCGGGGTCCATCTTCGCCACCAAAGAGAAGGTCTTCTCCTTCGGGACGACGGCCCTCACGGACGACGACAAGGGCTTCGGCGAGCGCTTCAAGATCACGAACCCGAACAAGGTCGCCGCCGTCGTCAACTTCGCCATCTCGCCCAAGGCCGCCGAGGGCGGCCGCGAGGACCCGCGGTCCGTCGGCGGCGCGGACGTCTTCACGGTCCAGCCCGCGAACTGCGAGGTGCCGCCCCACGAGCACCGCTACGTCACGGTCTACTTCCACGCCAACGAGATGCGCGAGTACCGCGCCATGTTCGCCGCGACCGTCGAGGACAGCGCCGAGGCCGAGACGGGCGCGTTGAGTTTCGAGCTCGCGGGCCGGGGCACGCTCCCCTCCGTCGCCATCGAGGGCGTCGACCACGGCGACGGCGGCCAGTCCCTGGACTTTGGGCGCCTCCAGGTGGGCCGCAGCCGCAGCCGGACGCTCACGGTGCGCAACGACGGCGTGTTGAACGCGACGGCGCTCGTCAACTTCAACGTCGCGGACCGCCACTTCGGCTGCGCCCACGCCGGCGGCTCCGTGCAGCTGTCCCCCGGCGAGAGCCGCGACGTGACCGTGACCTTCAAGGCCCTGCCCTGGGCGCCGCTGCCCGAGGGCGAGCCCGCGACGGAGGCCCGGGACGTCTCCGCGAAGCTCGCGCTCAAGGTCCTCGACAACAAGTACGAGGCGACGACGGTCGTGCTCAAGGGCGCGACCTTCGAGACGGACGTGTCCATCGAGAAGCTGCCCGACGACGTCGAGGACGAACTGAAGTTTGGGGAACTGAACCTCGCGTCGGGCGAGACCGCGCTGACCGCGGAGTTCACCGTGCGGAACCTGCGGCCGCGGACGGTCCGCTTCGAGTGGCCCGACCACGCCACCGTGGCCTTCTCGCCCAAGGTCGGGCACCTGCTCCCCGGCGGGTCGCGGACGGTGACGGCGACGTTCACGCCCGGCGCCGAGCCGCTGAGCCTCGACGAGGAGCTGTCGCTGGACACGCAGCAGATCGCGCTGACGCCGCCGGCGGAGGACGACGAGTCGCCCCTGATCTTGGACACGCTCCTCGAGGGCGCCTGGGACAGCGACGCGCGCGTCGAGCGCGAGGCGACGGCCGCGGAGCGCGCGATCATCGACGGCGTCGCGTCGGAGGACGACAGGCCCAAGGAGCGGCGCGCGTCCAACGCCAAGGACAAGGGCAAGAAGGGCGAGCCCGCGGGCGACGCCGGCGAGCTGCCGCCGGGCGTCGCGGCCGGCCCCGTGACGGACGACGGCGCGCAGCTGGTCGTCGTGACGCCCCCGGAGCCGGCCTTCGAGGGCGCCGCGGACAAGCAGGCGCAGCCCCTCAAGTGCGTCGCCGTCGCCGACGCGCCGGGCTTCGAATGCGACGCCAAGGGCCTGACCTTCAAGACCATCCCCATGTACCAGAGCCTCTGCTCGACGTTCGAGCTCCGGAACACGTCGACGATCGCGCTGCCCTACCGCTGGGTGCTCACGAACGCCGGCGGCGACCCGAGCCAGACCGCGGGCGGGCGGCGGCCGACGACGGGGCTCGCGGTCATGCAGCCCATCCCGTCGCCCTTCTCCGTGTCGCCGTCCAGCGGCGACGTCGCGCCGAACTCGTCGCAGACCTTCAGCGTCCACTTCGCGCCCATGGAGGTCGACGACTACTACTACGCCCTCGAGGCCGACATGCCGTCCCTCGCGAGGCCGCCGCCCGCGGCGGACGCGGCCGCGGAGCCCCCCGCGGAGGACGGCGCCGAGGCGCCGACGCCGCTCGAGCCCGTCCGCGTGGGCCTCCGGGGCCGCGCGACGCGCCCGGCCTGCCACATCGACCTCAACGAGGACGGCGACTACCTCGCGCGGCGCCAGCCCAACCTGCTCAACGAGCACGGCCACCGCGACCAGATCGAGGCGACGAACGTCCGCATCGTCGAGGTGAGCTCGCGGGGGCTCCGGGTCCAGAACACGAAGCGCTTCCACGTCGTCAACCCGACGGCGTCGTCCTACGACTTTGTCTGGGAGCCGTCGGGCCAACCCCACGCCGCGTGGCGCTGCGGCACGCCGCGCGGCATGATCCTCTCCGGGAAGCGGGGCGAGATGGTCTTCGAGTTCACGCCGAACACGGTGGGCGTCGCCGAGGCCTTCTACCGCTTCAAGATCCCCGAGCACGGCATCGACGAGCTGTTCCTCTTCGTGGGGCAGGTCGTGGAGCCGCGCGTGACCTTCGACCGGACGCGCGTCGACTTCAACGCGGTCATGCTGGGCAACATGGCGTCGGAGACGGTGCACCTGGTGAACTCGGAGCATCTGCCCTTCGCCTTCAACTTCGAGAAGCCCGGCATCGACAACGACGGCCCGGGCGCGGCGCCGCGGCGCCACCCGACGCTCGAGATCTCGCCGCTGTCCGGCCTCGTGCCGCCGAACGGCCGCGCGGCCATCGAGCTGAGCTTCCGGCCCGGCGAGGAGAGCCTCGTGAACACGAATCTGATGTGCACGGTGCGCAAGAAGACGATGAAGCTGAACCTGAACCTGAAGGGCGAGGGCTACGCGGTCCACTCGAAGCTCATGCTCCTCGAGGGCGTCGCGGCCGCGCAGGCGCAGAAGGACGGCGAGCTCCTCGACTCGGGCGTCGGTTTAAGTGTGGGCGACGGCATCAGCGAGCTCCACCCGTCGCCGGCGGTCAACGTCGTCGACTTTGGGACCGTGCACCTCAACCAGACGCTCACGAAGACGCTCGCGATCGCGAACAGCGGCAAGTTCAACTTCGACTACGTCATCGACCGCGGCGCGAACCCGAACCCCATGCTGGTCCTGAGCGGCGCCAAGTCGTCGGGCACGGTGCGCAAGAACGGGCGCATCTTAGCGACGCTGACCTTCCACCCCGTGTCTCCCTGCGTCTTGGACGGCGCGCAGTACGTCGTCGCCGTCGCGGGCAAGTACGAGTACGTGCTGAAGATCGTGGGCAGAGGCGTCGCGCCGAATCTACGGTTTTCCTTCAGCGACCACGACTTCGGGCCCTGTTTCATCGTCGTGCCGGGCCAGCCGCCGACGCGCGAGTCCGTCGTGCTCCGCGTGTCTAACCAGGACCCGCACGCGCACCTGAGCCTGGATTGCACGCTGCCGCGGAACAAGGTGCTGGTGGTCGAGTGCGGGCCGCGGGTGCTGGCGCCGGGCGAGCACGTGGAAGTCGTTTTGCACTTCACGCCGCGCGAGATGCAGGACTACGCGTTCCCCGTGCCGTTTTTGATCAACGGCGTGTCCACGGTGACGGTGCTCGTCAAGGGCCGCGGCGTCGCCGCGCGGTTGGAGCTCGTGCAGCCGTCGCAGGCGTCCTGCGCCTTCGGTCTGGTCCGCGAGGGCGAGGACATGGTCAAGCACGTCCAGGTCATCAACCGGTCCGCGAGGGCTTTAGGCTTCGATTTGGTGGACGAGAAGGACGCCCTGGCCAAGGCGGACGTCACGTTATCGCCGGCGACGGTGAGCCACCTGCGGCCGCGCGGCGTGACGACGATCGAAGTGAGGTTCTCGCCGAAGCGGCGCCAGCGCGAGTTCAGCGAGCCCGTCTTCGTGCGCTACGCCGGGGGCCTGCGCCAGCTGCTGACCGTGTCCGGCCGGGCGACGGGCATGGAGGTGGCGTTGTCGACGGACACGCTGAGCTTCGGCGCGGTCTGCGAGGGCTCGCGGCGCACGCGGCGGCTCCAGCTCGAGAACTCGGGCGACATCGCGACGCGGTTTCAATGGAACCGGAGCGGCCTCGGCGACCTGTTCACGATCTCGCCCCTCGAGGGCGTGCTCCGGGCGTCGTCGGAGGTCGCCTTCGACGTGACGTTCACGCCGACGCGCGTGGACCCGGACGTGCGCGTCGACGGGATGCAGCTCTTCGTCGAGGGCGCGGCGCCGCTGCGGCTCGCCTGCGTCGGCGCCTGCGTGCCCCAGCCCGACGAGTCGAAGCAGACCCTGGACTTCGAGTCCGTCGCGCGGCGCGCGGACGTGAAGTCCGTCGTCGTCAAGAACCCGACGAACAAGCCGTGGTTCCTCGCGCCGACGCTCAAGCACATGGAGGCCCTCGAGCACTTCAAGGCGCCGGGCGAGGTGTCCGTCCCCGCCAACGGCGAGGCGGCGCTCGACGTGTCCTACTTCCCGCTGACGATGACCGTCGACGACGAGCCGCCCGCGGAGGACGCCGAGCCGCCCGCCGAGGGCGAGGAGCGCGAGGCGCGGAAGCACGTCGCGGAGCTCTTCATCGCCCTCCCCGACGGGTCGGCCCTGCTCTACCACCTCCGGGGCGCCGCGGGCCCGCCGGAGACGCTCGTCCACGAGCCCATGTCCACGGCCGCCAAGGCGTCGCTGCCGATCTCGCTGTCCGTGTCCAACTGGCTCGGCGCGCCGCAGCACTTCGACGTGGCCTTTAGCCTCGACGACGAGACGGCGTCCCTGGACTCGACGTTCTTGGAGGGCACGTCGACCTTCGACGTCGAGGCCGCGGAGACGCGCGCGTACGTGCTCCGCTTCTTCTCCTACAAGGTCGGCAAGACCGTCGCCGTCGCGCGGTTCACGAACCCGGCGTCGGGCGAGTACCTCGAGCACTCCGTCGAGGTCGAGGTCACGCCCGCGGGCGTCATCTCCGCCCTGAGCCTCGAGGCGCCCGTGCGCCAGACCGCGCGGCGGTTGATCACCATCGAGAACCCGTTACCGAAGGACGTGTCCGTGACCTTCCCCGAGGACTGGTGGCGCTGCGACAACCCGCACGTGAAGCTCGCCAAGGTCGGCACGATGCAGGGCTCGCCCGAGGGCGTCTTCGAGGTCGAGTTCCGGCCCTTGGTGCCCCACGACCGCGTCGAGGCCTCTTTAAGCTTCGACATCGAGGAGCTCGGCGAGTTCAAGTACACGCTGACTTTGGGCGCGACGCCGCCGGCGGCGATCCCGCAGATCAAGTTCGAGGCGCCTCTGGGCGGCGCGCAGGTCGAGACGTTCTCCTTCCCCGCGTTCCCGCTCGGAGCGAGCGGCGGCGGCGCGGCCAAGTTCGCGTGCTCCGTGGCCAAGGCCAAGTTCTTCGAGGTCGCGTCGTCCATCGACGCCGACGTCGGCGACGAGTGGGAGGGCAAGGAGGTCCAGCTCCAGATCCGCTTCGAGCCCGAGGCCCTCGGCGCGATCTCGGACGTGCTCGTCGTCGACGGCGGCGACCGCGGCGAGTACCGCGCGACGCTCACGGGCGTCTGCAAGCGGCCCGAGCCCCGGGGGCCCTTCACCATCGAGGCCGGCGGCAAGTGCGACGTCGAGTTCAGGAACGTCTTCTCCGAGGCGCGCGAGTTCGTCTTCACCGTCGACCACCCGGAGTTCGCCGTCGCGACCGGCAAGGCGAACATCAACGCCCGGTCGCCCTACACGGCGTCCGTCAGCTTCACCCCCGTGGACCCGGCCGACGGCTCCGCGCCGCCGCCCGTCGTCACGGCCCGCATGCTCGTGGACTGCGTCGACCCCGCGGGCGAGAAGCAGTCCTGGACCTACTACCTCCGCGGCCAACGGAAGGCCGACTAGATCTCTGGCCCTCGCGCGAGGCGCGCGCGCGTCCCCAAGCCGCGCGCCGCGCCTAACGCGACCGAGCCGTAGTGGTGAGGCAAAGTTGCAACAGTTGAGCTCCTCTCTGTTCTCCGCGGCCCTTCGGGGTCGCGGGTTGGAGACGGCGCGAGTCGGTATGGCCCAATGGATAAGGCGCGTGACTACGGATCACGAGATTCTGGGTTCGAATCCCAGTATCGATTTCTTTTTGCTTTTTTTTGCTCGGACGTCGCCCCGAGCACCGTTGCGCGCTGCCCCCCGACGACGCGCGTGGTGTTTCAGGCGGCTCCTGTCTTTTTGGGCCGGCGGAATGCCCAAACTTGGGGCTCCGCGGAGCTCGGAGACGATGCTCGATGTGATTCTTTCTGCTCCGCACCGTGAGCCTCTTCTACGCAACGAAGACGGGCGCTGACTTGTTTTGCGAGCTTCACGCGTCGTCCTCGTCGCGCGTTGCACAAAGGTTCGATGGGTTCGGCCCTGCGGCTGAGGAAGAGAGCTTCGTTTGTCACGGGACGCGTGCGTTCGCTCGCAGTCAGTGCACATCGGCATCGTTCGGCGATGGCGACGTGCCAGCGTGGTCGGCGGGGACCATGGGCGTGTAGACGGACGCGAAGAAGCTGCCCCGCTGCGCCAGCTCCGCGCGCGTCGCCGACGAAACTTGTCTCGATCGAATGAACGGAACGTGCCGCGCGGATCCGCTGCGATCCCGGACCTTTTGAACGCTCGCGCCGCCTCTTTATCACTTATGATGCCCTCGGCCACCGGTCACGGCTCTCGACGTCGTCGAGCGCGACCGCGCGTTCCCGACGGGCGGCCGATCGCCCCGGGGAGACGCGCAGGCGAGGGCCGCGGACGCTCCCAGAGTGGCGCGGCGTCGGGACGTCGGCCGCATCGCACGGGGCCGCAGTCGACAGGCGAGCGCCTCGCGCGCCGCGGAGACGGCGATCTCCCTGGCCCGCGCGTTCGCGCCGAGCGTGACGTCGTGGCTAAGTCTTACGCGCACATTCCTCCCGCGTGCCGAGCAGTCCATATGCTAGGATCGAGGCGCTTCGTGTTTTAGAACGTTAGCCTGGCTGTGCCCGCCGCCACCGGGCTGGAGCAAGTGTAGTGGCGAAGTAGACTTACGCGTTAAGACTTAGGCTATTACTTGCGCGTCGAGGGCCGCGAGGTTCCTCATAGCTGGCTCGTTGCCCTTGGCAGCGGCGCGCTCGAACCAGTATCTGGCTTTGCCGAGGTCGACTTCCGTGCCTTCTCCATTGTGGTAACAGCAGCCAAGGCCAGTCTCCGCATCGGCAATGCCTTGATCCGCCGCGAGCGTGTAGTACCGGAACGCTTCTTCGAAGTTCTCCGCAGAATAAAGGAAACCGCCTAATCTGGATTGCCCGAACGCGTGGCCCCGATCTGCGGCCGCGCGATACAGCTTCATCGCCTTCTTCATGTCCAGCTTGACGCCACTTCCAATTTCGTGCAATGCCGCAAGTCGTAACGTCGCGTCCACGTCGCCGAGCTCCACGGCGCGCTTCCATAATTTCGCGGCTTTCTTATCGGATTTCACGAAACCGTAATCACCGTGGCAGTACGCATCTCCCAAACACGTAATCGCTTCCGGCACCTCGTTCTCCACATGACGGCGAAGACGCGCGAGGTCCTCCGCATCGTTTTTTGCGGGCGGCAAACGACAGAGGGGACACGCGTCGGTGCCGATCTTGTCGGCGCACGACTTGCAGACCAGCCGGCAGCAGCAGACGCGAAGCGAGCGCGTCGCATTCACGTCCCACTCCTCGAGACAGATCGGGCACCGCGACCCGTACCGCGCCGAGAGCGGCTCCCGCTCCGGGTTCTCCTCGCGCCGCACGCGGGCCGCCTCGTGTTCCGCCGCGATGCGCGCGCGGACCTCGTCGGCGTGCGACCGCGGCGCGGGGCCGTAGAACACGTCCCGCGGCGGCGACGGCGGGCGCGTCGGCGCCTCGGCGCGGGCCGCGATCTCTTTACAGACCTTCCGGTGGCCCCGGTCGCGCCAGTCGATGCGTTGGCAGTCCGTCGAACAGTAGGCCGTCGTGCCGCAACCTTTGCAAGCTTTGGCGCCTTTTGCGCCGCAGATCGTGCAGATGTGGAGGGCGAGCTTGGTCCGGGCCTTGCGCTTCTCGTAGGCTTGCTTCTTGGCTTGTAGCACCGGGTCCATCGTCCTCGCGTCGATGAGTTCGTCACTGCTCTTCTCGCCTTGCTCCTGCCTCGCGAGAACTCGGCGCCGACGGCGAGCCAGATACAGCCGGTGAGAATCGTATCAAGGCCTCGCCCGCCCTCGGACGGCGGCGCCTCGCGCCTCGGCGGCGACCCGAGCGACCAGGCTTGACGAGGCTCGATTGGAGCCCTAATACCCCAGATACACGCCAAGAGAGCCCACGCCTCTTAGTCCCCGCATTTTGGGCAGCGCGTGACCGCCCCCGTGAACATGCCCACGGACCCGGTCATCTGGGGCACCCACGTCGCATCAAACGCGACGACGGGGTGCACCGTGATGGGCACATCGCAGTCCGGGTGGCCGAGGGCGTTCTGGACGTAGCGGACGCCGTCGAGGACCGCGTCGACGTTCTGGTGCGAGTGGCCGAAGACGTGGACCGCGCTCCCGAGCCGGCCGATCTGGTCGAGCAGGCGCGCGTCGCCCATGACGTGGCCCAGCGCCTTGAAGCCGCCCATGCCCTCGAAGAGCACGGCCCGCGGCAGGAAGTGGCTGAAGCTGATCACGGGCTCGTCGCGCGGCGCGCGTTTCAGCGCGTCGTCGTTGAGCCGGGCCATGAACCTCGACACGCCGGGCTCCGTGGACAGCTTCAAGCACATGACGCCGTCGACGTCGACGTCCTCCGAAGCGTCGGCGCCGTCGTCGCGCAGAAAGGCGGGCCACTTGCAGAACGTGTCGAAGCCCCGGATCCAGCTCTCGATGTCGCCGTCGACGAACTCGGTAGTATACCAGGAGAAGAGCGGCACGACGCTGCAGACGCCGGGGAACCGCACGGGGTGCGTGATGACGCCGAGCTTGTCGCAGGCCAGGAGCTGGTCGAAGAACTTGTCGAGCGAGTTCTTCGCGGCGTCCTTCTCGTGGATCCAGAGGTCGTGGTTGCCCGGGCAGTAGAAGACGTAGCGGAACTTCGGGATGAGCGACTTGAAGAAGGCCTCGAAGGTCTTGGCGTCCGGCGCGACGTCGCCCGCGACGAGTAAGGCGTCGTCCTTGTGGGACGCGAAGCCGAGGCAGTGCTTCAGGTTCGCGTGGACGTCGACGTGCACGTCCGAGATGGCCCACACCTTGTTGGGCGGCGGCGACAGCTCCACGAAGACGTGCGCCTTGGAGACTCGATTATACCGGTCCGCGACGGCGTCTCGGAGGTCGGCGTTCGACGAGCCCTCGAGCGCGCCGGCCGTCGCGACGCGGACCAAGGTGTCGAGCGCGACGCGCGACATGGGCCTCGGTCGCGGCCGCTGATTCGACTCCGGCGATGCCACCCGCACGGCGAGGGCGCCGCCGACGGCCTCGGCGTTGGCCCAGCGGCTCAGCAGCAGCACGTCGGCGCCGCCGAGCGTGTGGAGCCGCGCGTCGACGTCGTCGAGGGCTTCCACCGTGGCCGCCTTGGGGTCCGGCGTCGACGAGACGCCCAGGCCGTAGAGCATCCGGCCGAGGCGCGCGAGCGCCGCGGGCGACGCCGTGTTGTCCCGCAGCGCGTCCGCGGCCGTCAACAAGCCCCGCGAGATGCGGCTCTCCTGCTCCCGGCGCCACGCGACGCCCTCGGCGCCGAGCAGCCCCTCCCGGAGCCGCTGGCGCTGCGTCGCCGAGAGCGCGTCGTCCTTGAGCCGGTCGCTGAAGAAGCGCAGCTTCGCCATGGGCGACAGGTCCGAGTCGTCGCTGAAGCCGCTCAGCGGCGAGTCGGGCGTCTCGACGGTCTCCAGGGCGCCGACCAGGTGGTCCCGCCGCTCGCCGCCGAAGCGGTTGAAGAATTTCTGGTTCCCCGCGAGGAGCGCCGTCGACGGCCGCCGCTGGATCGACGCCTTCGCGGGCACGCACGCCTCCTCCTCCGCGGCGTCGAGCCTGCGCGCGATTTGTCGGCCCGAATCTCTCGAAAAACGCGAGACGCTGCATCGAGACCAGCAGTCCTTCTCGGGGATCCAGTCCTCCCAGCGCGCGGACGACGCGCGGCGGAAGTCCAGCGGCGGCGGCGGCGGCGGCGGCACGAACCTCGCGTTCGCGGGCTTCGTCGCCGGCGACGACGCGACGGTCGTCACGGTCTTCGCCGAGACCCAGCCCGTCAGCGGCGTCGCGCCCCAGTCCACGCGCAGCCGCCTGACGCCGTCGTCGAGCGTCGCCTCCTCGAGCAGCACGAGCAGCGTGCCCGTCTTCAACTTGCACATCTTCTCCGAGTCCATGGCCGCGGCGTCGCGCGCGATGGAGCCCGGCCGCAGCACCTTGAGCGTGCCCCGCGGGTTGCCCAGCACCTTGGCGTTGACGTCGCCGGCCGCGCGCTTCTTGACGAGCTCGACCATCGTCTGCCACTCGTCGTAGTCCACGAAGCCGTCGCGGTCCGCGTCGACGGCCTCGAAGAAGGCGTCGAGCTCCGCGTCGCTCAGGGACGTGCCCGCCTTGCCCAGGACCTCCACGAAGCGCGCCTTGAGCTCCGCCGTCGAGATCGTGCCCGAGAAGTCGGCGTCGCAGTGCTCGAAGACGGCCCACTCGTTGCTCTCGAGCATCTTCGCCGTCTTGCGCACGGCGCCGCCCCAGCGCGGCGTCATGGGCTCCTTCTTCGTCGGGCTGCTGGAGGTGGCGCCCATGGTCCGCCGAGTGTCGAGGCCACTGCGGAGAGCTCGGGGCAGCGTCTCGAGAGAGCGGGCTAGCTAATGTTAACCGCTTCACAAGCCATGAGTGCCGATTAGTCCTAACTAGGAGAAACTCTTTTGTCCGAGAATCGCCATCTCGATCGTCGCCGGCCGTCAAGTATGGTGCTCAGCGTCCCCATCAAGCCCGACGTGCGGGCGTGTTTTCGGGTTTAAAGACCATTCCGGACGTCTGAGAGAGACTACGACACACCGTCGCCGTCGCCGAAACGCGAAAGCCGCGCGGGGCCGTCGGCGACGGCCTGCCACAAGCCGACAGAGCGTCGCGCGAGAGCGGCCGGCCGCGCGCCGTCGACGCCGCGCCCGTACGCGGCCACGCGGTCCCGAGACGCGGCGGACGCGGCGGGGCGACGCGACGAGCGCCTCGCCGCTCGAGGGGGCCGACTCGGGGACGCGCCCCGAGACGAGAGCGCCTCGCCGATCGCCGCGCGGCCGCGCCGCGACCCCCCACGCCCCGCAGGATGGTCGTCAAGACGGACAAGTGCGCGTTCAGCGAATTCAACATCTTCCCCGGCCATGGGATGAAATTCGTCAAGCGCGACGGCACGCCGCTCATGGTCATCAGCCGCAAGGCCAAGTCGCTCATGATGCAGCGCAAGAAGCCCGCGAAGCTGACGTGGACGCAGCGGTGGCGCATCATGAACAAGAAGGGCCTCGCCGAGGGCGGCGTGCGGAAGCGCACGCGCCGCGTCGTCAAGGTGCAGCGCGCGATCGTCGGCACGTCGGCGGACGACATCAAGAAGCTCCGGACGCAGAAGCCCGAGCTCCGCAGCGCGCAGCGCGAGGCGGCGCTCCGCGAGACGAAGGAGCGCAACAAGGCCAAGAAGGCCGAGAAGATCAAGAACAAGGCCGTCGCCAAGGCCAACCAGCCCAAGGTCAAGGCGCCCAAGGGCGGCAACAAGAACGCGCGCGGCGGCGCCAAGCGCTAGGCGCGTCTCCCCACCTTCCCCGGGTGGCGCGTTCGGTCTAACGAGGGTGTCATTCAACTCTCCGGGTGGGCGTGGGGCTTAGCTCGCTACGGCGTGCTGGAATTGACCGCAGCGGCCGGCGGGGCCTCCGGTCGCAGTCTCGTATTTGTGGCTTCGAAGAAGCTCCGAGTCGGCCGCAAACCTGGGCCTAGTCCGTGGACCTCACGACCGAGATCCCCGAGAAGTTCCCAGATGAAGTTCCCCGAGAGCGCCGCGGCATCGTGCACTAAACATCGACTACACGCAGCCCCTAAAGCGGCGAACGATGATAGCGAGTCCACGATGATCGCGCTCGCGTTCCTCTGATAGCGAGAGTCCACGATGATCGCGCTCGCGTTCCTCGCGCTCGCCGCCTTCGCGGCGCCGGAGACGCCCATCCACGAGCAGATCCGCGCCTCGCTGGCCGCCGGCGAGACGGCGCTCCAGGCGTCGCGCTGGCGCGCGTCGAGCGAGGCCTACGAGCGCGTGCTGCAGCTCATGCGCAGCAACTCGCTGCAGATCAACATCGCCGCGGAGAGCCAGCTCTACAACAACGTGGGCTGGGCCGCGTTCCGCCTCGGCGAGTACGAGCGCGCGCTCGCGCGGTACGAGGCGAGCGCGCGGAGCTGCGACCGCGCGCTCGTCGAGGGCTTCTCCGAGTGCCTGAACAAGGTCTACGACAACCTGCACGAGCTCGTGCACAAGACGCTCAAGCGCCGGGGCCTCGCCATCGAGTGGATGCGCGAGGGCGTCGAGAGCGCCGCGCGCGCCGCGAGCCGGCGGGGCCTCGTCGGCGGCGCGGCGCTGCGGCTCGGCGAGGTCGTGCGCGTGCGCCTCGGCTACCTGCTCGTCCTCCACGGCAGCCTCGACGAGGCCGAGGCGACGCTGCGCCCCCTCCTCGAGGCCGCGGCCGGCGAGGCCGCGGCGAACGCGACCGCGGGCGCCGCGGCGCCGCGCGGCGTCTTCGGCGCGCCGCGCGCGTTCGACGCGCGGCGCCGCGCGCTCCTCCAGGAGGCGGCGACCTACGTGGGCTGGTCCCGGGCCTTCCGGCGGGACTGGGCCGGCGCGAGCGACGCCCACGTGACGGCCGCGGCCCTCGCGCTCCCGCGCGACGCGTCGGGCTGCGCGCGGCCGCGGTGGCGCGTCCAGGAGGGCTGGTTCTTCCCCGGCGCCGCCGCCGGCGACGACGAGGCGGCGGACCCGGGCGCCTTCGCCGGCGAGAGCTGGACCGTCCACGCGCTGCCCGTCGCGGACGTCAACTGGGCGCCCAAGCCCGCGTCCGCGCCGCGATGCGTCGCGCGCCGCGCCGCGGGCGCGCCCGTCGCGGGCTGCGGCGGCGCGCGCACGGACGGCGGCGTCGCGCGCGTGCGCCTCGTGGAGATCCCCGACGCCTTCCTCGGCGGCCGCGACGGGTCCGCGCTCTGGCAGCGGAAGCCGCACTGCGTCCTCTTCGCGGGCGAGATGGGCGCGTCCGGCAGCCTCCCCACGGACTGGGGCTCGCCGGGCGTCAACGGCGGCCTCGAGGCGTCGGCCTCGGACGACGAGGACCGCGTCCCCGCCGACGCGCTGAACTCGGCGCCGGGCGACGTCGTCGCCATCGAGGCCGCCGTCGTCCTCTTCGACGCCCGCGAGGGCCACAAGATGTTCTGGCACCACCAGGCCGAGTGCGTGAGCCGCCTCGCGCTCGTGCTCGCGCGCCTCTTCGACCGCGACGGGTCCCCCGCGGCGCACCTGCCCCAGAAGACGCGCGCGGCGCTCCAACGCGCCGTCGTCCTCTTCCCCTCGTCGCTCACGGCGACGGTGCGCGCCCTCGTCCGCGCGGGCCACGGCACCGCGCGCGCCCTCGAGCGGTCGCGGCGCCTGAGGCCCTACGAGTGGCGCGCGGGCCGCGTCTACTCGTTCCACACGGCGTTCGTCTTCGATTGGCCGCCGCCGACGCCCAACACGGTCTCCGTCGAGCCCGAGATCTGGTACCCGCGGACCAACGCGTCGACGGTATCGGTCATGGTCGACGCCGTCGCGGACGGCGCCTCGGCGGCCGTCGCCTCGCCCCTGTGGCTCCTCGAGCTCGCGGATCGCACCGCCGAGTCGGAGACGCGCCGCTACGTCGATTCGTTGTTCCGCCTCCACTTCGTGCCCACGTCCGTGCTTCGGCTCCAGGCCGCGCTCCTTCGGGCCGCGTTCCCGCCGGACCCGGCGAAGCCGCCGCTCGCGCGGAGCCCGCGTTTCGTACTTTTTGGAAAACGCGCGGGGAGTAGCCGCGCCGCCGCCGCAGGTCATCTACTACAGCCGCGCGGACTGCGACAAGCGCCACGTCCGCTCCGAGGAGGCGCTCGTCACGGCGCTGACGGCGCGCTTTTCCGGCCGCATCGACGTCCTTCCCTGGCAGGGCGGCGCGTCGCCCGACGTCGAGCGCGCCGCCCGCGACTGGAGCCGCGCGGCCCTCGTCGTCGGCCCCCACGGCGCGGGCCTCGCGAACATGATCCACTGCCTGCCGGGCACGACGGTCCTCGTTCTCCCCGCGGCCGACGGTGGAGGTCTGTGCCGAAATCAACCACTGCTTTGGGTTATTCCGACCAAACTTCGATTCGGCTGATTTTTGGACGAATCGACTGCTCTCGTCGAGTTCTCGAAAGCTCCGCGTCGAAACTGTCGAATACGCTCATCGGGTTGAAGATTTGATTTCGGCCCAGGCGTCGGCGCGCCGTCCGCGTCCGACGAGTACTTCGCCCACTTCGCGCTCGCGCTCGACCTGGACTTGAACTTCTTCCGCATCGAGGAGCCCCCGTTGATGTTCTCCAACTACTCGTCCTTTTCCGCGTCCGAGATCGACGCGATCGTGGACGCGTCGGAGAGGGCCGTCTTTCCGAGGGTGCGGAGCTAAGGAGGCTACCACGGGCAGCGAAAATCCGCGAAGTACATCGTATGCGCGCCGCCGCCGCGGCCGCAGGCCGCGGCGAAGCCGCGGCGGTGGTGCGGCCGCGGCCGCAGGCCGCGGCGAAGCCGCGGCGCAGCCCGCAGACGGCTTGGCCGGGCTTGGTGAGGGTTAGGGTCATGTGGTGTGGGTTAGGGTGGGGGGGTGGGTTTGGGTTAGGGTTAGGCCTCTTTGGCGTAGTGGCGCTATCGCGCTGAAAAGCGCAAATCACCGAAGTACATCGTGTGAGCCCCCAAAACAGCGAAGTACATCGTGTGCGCCGCCGCCGGAATATCCACGAAGCACATCGTATGCGCGCCGCCGCACGCAAAACGCATCGCACGCACGCCGCCGAAATCCACGAAAGACATCGTATGCGCGAGGCGGCCGAGTTATTCCGGAGGAAGGCGCGTAAGACTTAGCCACGACGTCACGCTCGGCGCGAACGCGCGGGCCAGGGAGATCGCCGTCTCCGCGGCGCGCGAGGCGCTCGCCTGTCGACTGCGGCCCCGTGCGACGCGGCCGACGTCCCGACACCGCACCACTCTGAGAGCGTCCGCGGCCCTCGCCTGCGCGCCCTCCCGGGGCGACCGGCCGCCCGTCGGAAACGCGCGGTGACGCTCGACGTCGAGAGCCGTGACCGGTGGCCGAGGGCATCATACGTGATAAAGCGGCGGCGCGAGCGTGCGAAAGGTCCGGGATCGCAGCGGACCCGCGCGGCGCGTTCCGCCCATTCGATCGAGCCGAGTTTCGTCGGCGACGCGCGCGGAGCTGGCGCAGCGGGGCAGCTTCGTCGCGTCCGTCTACACGCCCATGGTCCCCGCCGACCACGCTGGCACGTCGCCATCGCCGAACGATGCCGATGTGCACTGAATGCGAGCGAACGCGCGCGTCCCGCGACGAATGAAGCTCTCCTCCTCAGCCGCAGGGCCGAACCCATCGAACCTTGTTGCAACGCGCGACGAGGACGACGCGAGGAGCTTGCAAAACAAGTCAGTGCCCGTCTTCGTTGCGTAGAAGAGGCTCACGGTGCGGAGCAGTAGGCAATCACATCGAGCATCGTCTCCGAGCTCCGCGGAGCCCCAAGTTTGGGCATTCCGCCGGCCCAAAAAGACAGGAGCCGCCTGAAACACCACGCGCGTCGTCGGGGGGCAGCGCACAACGGTGCTCGGGGCGACGTCCGAGCAAAAAAAAAGCAAAAAGAAATCGATACTGGGATTCGAACCCAGAATCTCGTGATCCGTAGTCACGCGCCTTATCCATTGGGCCATACCGACTCGCGCCGTCTCCAACCCGCGACCCCGAAGGGCCGCGGAGAACAGAGAGGAGCTCAACTGTTGCAACTTTGCCCGTGAGTAAGATAATGAATCCCTCCGGATGCGTTTTCGAATTTTTTGGAATTCCGCGGGCCGGAACGTAGCGCGCAGAACTCGAGGCGTCTCGTCCGGGAGAGTTCCGCGGCCCGGAGCGTAGCGCGTCAGCGCGTCAGCGGGGTCCGCGGAACTCCCCCGGAGGAGCCGCAGTCGTTCAATTTCTTTTTGTCGCAAAGTCCTCGGCTGACTTAATACTCCTCTCAACGCGTTATTTCGAGCGCGAATCGCAAAAAACAAGAATCTACCACAAAAATCACCCGTCGGTCAACCCAAGCTCCGCGTCGTACCGCGTGCGCCTCTCCGCGTCCCGCAGCACGTGCCACGCGCGCGACGCGGCGGCGAAACGCGCCTCGTCGCGGCCCTCGGCGTCCGGGTGGTGCAGCTTCGCCGCTTTTTTGAACCCCGCGCGGAGCGCGGCGGTCGGCGCGCCCGGCGCGCAAAACAGCTCGTCGTAGAGCGTCCGCCTCCGCGGCCTCGGCTTCGCGTGCGCCGCCGGCGGCGCCTCGACGCGCTCCGGCGGCGCCTGCTCGACGCGCTCCGGCGCCTGCTCGACGCGCTCGGGCACGAAGTAGACGTCGCCGTCCGCGGGGCTCCAGGTGTCGTCGCCGCCGCCGGGCGACCATTGCGAGACGCTGTTGTACGCGCGCGCCGCGTCGTGGAGGCGCCGGTTCGCGTCCGCGGGCTTCGGCGCGGGCTTCGGCGGCGGCGGCAGCGCCGCCTCCTCGTCCTGCGTGTTCATGCTGCGCCAGAACGCCTCGTGGTCGTCGTCGGGCGTGCTCGCCCAGCGCGTGGTCGTGTAGGCGTTCCAGCGCGGCGTGGAGCAGCGCAGCGCGCAGCGCGGCGTGGAGCAGCGCAGCGCGTGCGCTGCTCGTACGAGCGCGACCGCGACGACGCGCGCCCGCATGGTTTGGAAGGCCGCAGTTTCAAAATGATGTTCCCATTTCTCGATTGCGCCTCTTCAACATCGACCGATAGAAGAGACGGGGAACGCGCGCGCGCCGCGAGTCTGTCGTCCGGGACGACGGCGGAGCTCCTCGCGTCGGCTCCCAGCTGTCGCGTCGGCTGCAGCGCCGATGTCGACGTCTGCGTCGCGTCGCCGGCACCGTGACGTGCGCGCGACCGGGCAGAAGATCGATCGCGGCGTATCGAAGCTTCTCGAACGAGAGCGCGTCCGGCCAGCCGGCGGGGCCGATGAAGGCGTCGGGCGGCGGCGGCGGCTTCGGGCGTTTCTTCGGCAGTTTGAGCTCCTTGGCCAGCGCGTGCGTGTCCTCGAGCCGGCGTCCGCGGCGTCGACGACGGACGCCCGCTGGGCCCCGGGGCCCTCAGGCTTCGTCTGTGAGCTCCAATGCAGCGAGGCGGAACTCGCCGACGAGCAGGGGACTGCGGCTGCTTGCCGCCTAATTCATTTCCACGGTTTCCCTGACCACTTCGACGACGGCGCCTACGCGACCCTCGACAACGGAGCCCGGGAGAACCTGAAGCCTAAAAACAGAGGACTATTCGCCGTTTTTTTACATCGAGCTCGCGACCTCGCGCCACATCATGGACACCTCGCTCTGGCAGTCCTTGGAGTTGGAGTTGACGAAGGCGGGGTCCAGGTCGAGCTCCGCGTAGTAGGCCGCGGCCGCGGCCGCGTTCGCCGAGAACCCGTCGCCGCCCTCCATCATCTCGAGCGCCGACGCGCCCTTGAACAGGTACAGCTTGCCGTCGTCGACCTTGAACACGGACGTGTCGACCGTGTCCAGCGCCAGGTCGCAGAGCACCGTCGCGTGGCTGTCGACGTCCGCGCCCGACATGCCGTAGGCGCAGAAGCCGCCGCACTGGGGCGCGTAGGCCCGCGGGTCCGCGGCGAAGGCGTCGCGGTTCGCGGCGCTGGAAAAGTAGTAGAGGGAGCCGCCGGCCGTCGCCGAGTGGGCCGCGCTGCCCTGGACCGCCGCGGCGCTCGCGAAGTACTCGACGACGTCGAAGCCCTGGAGCGCGGGCGCCGCGTCGCTGCCGCACGCGCCGGCGGGCGTCTCCTCGCAGGCCGGGTCCCAGGCGAGCGCGAGCGCGTCGCCGACGACGGCCCGCGTCGCGGCCGCGACGCCGCTCGCGAGGCTGAGGCGCGCCCGCGACGAGACGCCCGCGCGCGTCGCCGCGTAGCCGAACACGAGCGTCGCGGCGACGACGAAGCCGAGGCCGCGCCGCCGGGCGTGTGGCCGCCGCAGGGGCTGCATGAGCACCATGGGCGGCGGCGCGCCGGCCTCGGCGTCGTCGGCGTCGAGGCGCATCGTCACGCAGGAAATGGTAACTTCGGGGCAGCTCCACCACGATGAACCTTGGTTGACGAGATGTTGACGCCGCGCGCGATCTGTGTGACGATGATGTATTGCAAGCTCTTTGCGTTGCTCATCGCGACGTGCGGCGCCTTCGTGGCGCGGTCGCCCCTGCCGGCGATCGCGCCGCGCCGCTGCGCCGCGAGAGCGGCGCCGACGGCGGCCGCGGACGTCGCCGTCGTGCTGCTCGCCGGCGGCGTCGGGAGCCGCATGAAGGCGGACCGGCCGAAGCAGCGCGTCGCGCGGCGTCCACTTTTTGCCTCCGCCTCGTTCCCATGCCGATGTCCGTAGGTTCCTCGAGCTCGCGGGCAAGCCCGTGCTCTACCACTCGCTGGACCTCTTCCTCGGCCTCGAGGGCGTGTCGTCGCTCGTGCTCGTCATCAACGAGCAGTACCGCGGCGAGTTCGCGCCCTACGCGGCGGACGGCCGCGTGACCTTCGCGGACCCCGGCGCGGAGCGCCAGGACTCCGTGCGCAGCGGCCTCGACGCGTGCCCGGCCGACGCGGCGCTCGTCTGCATCCACGACGCCGCGCGGCCGCTCGTCACGCCCGAGGAGATCTTCAAGGTCATCGGCGACGCGCGCGACCACGGCGCGGCCGTGCTCGGCGTGCCCGTCAAGGCGACGGTCAAGGAGAGCGACGACGGCGAGTTCGTGCTGCGCACGGTGGACCGGAGCCGGCTCTGGGAAGTGCACACGCCGCAGGTCATCAAGCCCGCGCTCCTCCGCGAGGGCTTCGACAAGGTCGCCAAGGAGGGCCTCGAGGTCACGGACGACGTGAGCATCATCGAGCAGCTCGGCCTGCCCGTCAAGCTCACGCTCGGCGAGTACACGAACCTCAAGGTCACGACGCCCGACGACATGGTCGTCGCGACGCAGATCCTCGACCAGCGCGCGGCGGCCGCCGCGAACTAGGGGGCGCATTCGTAATTAGGGGCTTCCGTCGCGACGCCCGGTCCTTCGGTTCCGCCGGCCGCCGCGCCGACGCGGTCGACGCATGCGTCGCCTCCGAGTCTCCGGCGTCCAGGTCCGTAGTAAATTGTTAGCTTTTCCGCCACCGCGCGGGACGACGCGGGAGCGCGGCAGGCAGCGGGTGCGGCGCTCGAAGATTGCTCGGCGGGGTGTCGTTTTCTCGGGGGGCGCTCGTCGGCGGTTTGCGGTCTGGTGGCGTCGAAGGGGTCGTCGAGACCACCGGGCTCGCTAGACGATCGAGGGGACGGAGAAGTAGGAGTTCTTGGAGCCGTCGCAGTCGCGCGTCTCGTGGAACTTCTTCAGGTCGATGAGGCACTTGCCCTGGGGGTCCTTCTCGACGCAGGGCACGAAGGTCCGGTTCACGAGGACGTCGCCGTCGTTGAAGCTGTAGGAGTGCCTCGCCTGCATGGTCGACGACGTGTAGGTGTCGATGGCCTCGACGATGACGACGATCTCGCACTCGGCGAGGCTCAGGTGGTCCTCGACCTGGGGCAGGTCGCGCCACCGGTCGACGTCGCGCGCGAGGCGCGAGCTCCGCTGCGGCGACAGGAGACCCGACTCCGAGGGCTTGAGGGCCGGGTGGTGGTCGTCGTGGGGCGGGAAGACGTCGTGGATCGACGACCGGCGGCGCTCGCCGGCGGCGTCGTCGGGCGGCGGCGCGGCGGCGGCGGCCGCGCCGGCCTCGGCGGCGTTCGCGACCTCGTCCTTGGTCTCCGCGTCGTCGTCGTCGTCGCTCGACGAGCCGGCGGCGAGGAGGGGCGTCGCGTCGCCGGGCTCCGCGTCGTCGTCGCCGGAGCCGGACGCCGGCGGCGGCGGCGGCGCGTCCGCGGCCGCGCCGAGGAGCGGGTTCTCCGCGCCGCCCTCCTCGACGTCCCCGCCGGAGTCCTTGCCCTCGCCGTCGTCGGACGACGACGACGACGACTCCGACTCCGTCAGGGAGATCAGGTCGTCCTCGAGGACGATGTCGGGGAGGTACTTGAGGTGGTTGAGGCGGCTGTGGCGGCGCCGGTCCTCGAGCGTGTACGTGTCGGGCCTGGGCAGCACAAGGGTGATTCAACGTCGCTTCAACATGAGTGTTCCGCGCGCGCGCGTTCCGGGAAAAGCATCCACGCTTCGAGGCCGTTCCGAGAGATGATCGCTCGTCCAAAAATCAGCCGAAACGAGTGGAAAACGGCCGAGATAGGAGCCTTTGAAGTTGGGAATTTCGCTCTCTTTTGCTGCCCTGTGTCCGGCTTCCGGGGCACGTCCATGTCGTTCTCCTTGCAGTACTTGCGCAGGGACCGGTAGGACTGGAAGACCTCGCCGGACTGGTAGGACGCGCAGCGCACGTCGTGGCCGCTGTAGCGGTCGTCGATGGCCGACATGACGCGGTGGCGCTCGAGCTGCTCCTCGGTCTCGTACGTCTCGCCGCAGACCTCGCAGCAGATGTAGGACCGCCCGCCGCAGTCGCAGTCGTCCTGGCGGAGCACGATGTCGGGGAAGGCCATGGCCGTCATGGGGTTGTGGTCGTCGGGGTAGAGCGGGCACTCCATGCCGTCCTTCGCGTTCTGCTTCTTCGGCGGGCAGAGCGGGCTCCAGGGGTCGATGCGGTGCGTGACGAGCGTGGGCAGGGCCATCATGAGCATGCCGCCGTTCTCGTCGTTGGGGTGGCTCAGCCGCATGGCGCACTGCTGGAAGAAGACGGGCACGTCGTCGTCGCCAGTCACGTGGCGGATGCAGTAGCAGCGGACGTGCGCCTCGATGAGCTGGTCGTTCGTCGACGACGAGCTCCGGTCGAAGAGCTGGAACATGAAGTAGAGGTTGCCCCGGATGCGGCGGACGACGGCCTGCTTGGAGAAGACGATGCGGACCGCGCGCCGCTTCGACCGCGCGACTTTCGTGTAGATGAGGCCGACGAGCGCCGCGTTCATCAGCGTGCCCACGAGGGTCTGGGCCATGATGAGGAAGATGGCCTGCGTGCAGCCGTTGAAGGTCATGTCCGGCGTGCCGAAGCCGATGGTCGACATGGTGATGAGGCTGTAGTAGACCGCGCGCTGGAAGCTGTGCGCCTGGAGGTCGCACCGCTCCGAGATGGCCATGTAGGCCGGGGTGAAGAGGAGCCAGCCGCCGACGTAGAAGACCATGAAGAGCCCGATGATGGCGCAGAAGGGCAGGCGCACGATGCTGTGGTAGGGGTCGTGGACGAAGACGCGCCACGAGCTCCGCATGGGGTTCTGCTCGCGGATGCCCACGCCGAAGTTGCCCCCGCCGGCGTACTGGCCCGGCTCCCCGGGGCTCAGGAACCGCGTCCGCGGGCCGGAGAAGAGGCCCCGCCGCCCCTTGGCCCGCGAGCTGCTCGGCGACAGCTTCAGGAGCCGCTCGCTCGTCGTCTTCGCCATCTCGATGGCCACGTGGCTGTTCTTCTTGCTCCGCCGCGACTCCGTAGAGGAGGACCGGGCGCCCTCGCGCCCCGCGTCGCCCATGGCAGGAGAGGGGGCAGCCCCGACACCGCCCGCCGCGGCGCGAATAACCCTGACCACAGCTCCCTGGACGTTCAGGACTTCTCAGCTCTACGATTAGGACTGGCTGGGCAGCAGCGTTTTTTTTGGATTTGATACGAAACGAAACGCGACGGCTCGGTGCCTCATTGAACCTCTCGATGAACTGGCGATTCATCATCTAGAAGCCCGCCGCGCATCGTCGTCGTCCGCAGCCGCTGACGCAATCAATCCACAGCCGCCGCAGCCGTGCTGAACGTTTCAGCAGCCATGGCGCCGTCGACGAAGGCCGCCAAGTCCCAGTACGCCGAGATGAGCGCCGCGAAGAAGGCCATCACGACGCTCTTCGAGGCGGCGAAGCGCGGCGACATCGCGACGATCCAGCAGGCCAAGGGCGACCTCGCGGCCTACAAGGACGGCCACGGCAAGCACTGCCTCCACTTCGCCGCCGTGTCCGGGAGCGAGGCCTGCGTCGGCGCCGTCGCGGCGATGGCGCCGAGCCTCGTGAACCTCGCCGACGAGGACGGCGTCGCGCCGCTCGCCTTCGCGGCGTCGCGGTGCCTCCTGGGCTGCTGCGAGGCGCTCCTGAAATGCGGCGCCGACGCGAAGGCCGTCGACGGCCAGGGCGCGACGGCGCTGCACCGCGCGGCGTCGCCCGTGTGCGACGTCGCCGGCGGCCGGAGCGCGATCGACGCGGGGCGCCTCGTCGCGGCGCTCGTGGCCGCGGGCGGCGACCCCGGCGCGCAGACGAAGAGCAGCGGCGCGCCGCTCCACTGGGCCGCGGGCTGCGACGACGAGGCCGCGATGCCCCTCGCGTGCGCGGCGGCGCGCGCGTTGATCCGGGCCGGCGCGGACGTCGACGCGGCGGACGCGCGGGGCCTCAACGCGATCATCCTCGCGGGCGCGACGGGCAACGTGCGCGCCGTGGAGCTCCTCGCCGACGCGGGCGCGGACTGCGGCGTCATCGTCGGCGGCGGCGCGACGGTCGTCCACATGATCGCGGACCGCGGCGACGCGGAGGCCCTCGAGTCGCTCATCGAGTCGGGCAAGAACGGCGTCGAGGCGGCGAAGAACGTCGACGCCGACGGCCGCACGGCGGCGGCCTGCGCGGCGTCCGAGGGCCACGACGCGTGCGCGAGGCTGCTCGCCGAGGCGACGGGCGAGGACCTCGCGGCGCTGCTGGCGGCGGCGAACGCGGAGCGCGAGGCCGAGGCCGCCGAGGCCGCCAAAGCGGCGGCGGCGGCGCCCGCGGTGACGAAGAAGGCCGCCGCGGCGACGCCCGAGGCCAAGGCGCGCGCGGCCGCGCTGAAGAACGAGGGCAACCGGGCCCTCGTCGCCGGCGACCACGCGGCCGCCGTCGCGAAATACACGGAGGCCCTCGCGCTGGACGACGGCGACAAGGCCTTCTTCTCCAACCGGGCGACGGCGCGCCTCGCGCTTTTCGAGGCTTCCAAGGACGCGGACCTCGCGCGCGGCGCGCTCGCCGACGCCGACGCCGCCGTCGCGCTGGACGGGGCCTGGCCCAAGGCCCACTACCGCCGGGGCACGGCGCTCATGGCCCTCGACGACTACGAGGAGGCGGCGACGGCGTTCTTCGACGCGCTCAAGCTCGACGAGCACAACGAGGGCCTGAAGAAGGCCCTCCAGGACTGCGTCGCCCAGGGGCGCGCGCGCGCCCAGCAGGCTAAGTGACGTCACTCTTTATGCCGCGCGCCTAGCCGATGACGTTGCCCGTGCATCGGTCGATCTGCGCTTCTCGCTCCATGAGCTCGAAGTTCTCGACGGAGTTGCCTGCGGTGCGACGCGTGAGCGACGGGGCGACGACGGCGATGGGACGCTGCGCGCGCGCCGCGGATGACGACGGTGCCGATCTCGTTTTTCTCGGTCAGCGAGACCTGCTCGATGGCGTCCTCGACGACGAGGTTCATGAACTGGTCGTAGCCGCGGAGCGTGCCCACGAGCTTCCGCTTGCCCACGAGCTGCGAAGGGACGCGGCGTCGCGGGCGACGCGGCGTTCGGGACGCGCGCGCGCGCCTTGATGAGCAGCCGCTTCTCCATGTAGCGCTTGAGGTCCGGCCCCTTGCCCGACATGGCGCCGCGCCGCGCTCTCGGAGCGCGCGCCGCGCGGTCTCACACGTGTCGCACGAATGCGTGCGTTGCGGCGCGCGGCGTCGCAGTTGTGGCAGCAGCTGTGCGCGCGCGCGGCGACCCGGAGAGCTCGAGGTGCTTGACGAGCTCGCCGCAGGCCCCGCGGCGCGGCCGGGGCTGGAGCCGCTGGACGCCGTCGACGACGCGTCGGTCCGCGCGGCCCTCGCACTCGCCCTCGCGACCCTCGCAACATCGACATCGAGTTACGTATGGACAGGGTCGTGGCGGCGCCCGGGCTCCGCTGCGCGGACGGGCGCGCCGTGGTGGGGGGGCTCTGCACGTGGATCCGAGTGTACAAGGCCGGCGCGCTCGCGAGGCCGCTCAGCGCGTCGACTCCCACGCGGCGAAGGTGCCGTCGTCGCGACCGATGGCCGCGTGGCCCCGGGCGCCGAGGGTCATGCGGACGTCGCCGAGGGCCACCGTCGCGCCCTTGCAGCGCTCCGCGTAGTGCTCGTACTCGACGAAGACGCGCTCCGCGACCTCGTAGCCGTCGACGGCCGCGACGTGCTCCTGGAGGGCGAAGGCGCGCTGGAAGGGGTTGAGGTCCTCCTGGCCGCGCTCCCGCGCCTTGTCGAGGCGCGCCTTGGCGGCGTCGCGCCGCTCGCGCGCGTCCTTCTCGAACGCGAGGAGGCGGTCGACCTCGGCCTCGGACGTCGCGGACGTCGTGAGCGTGTACTTGGTCGGCGAAGCGTCGTCATCCGCGGCGAGCCAGAACCAGCACTCGATGAGCTGGTCGCGCTCCTTGAGCCGCCAGCCGGGCTCGTGGCCGTCGGCGTCGCTCGCGGCGGCGCAGTCGACGTGCGCCTCCCCGTCCGCGAGGAGGAGCCAGCTCGTGCGCAGCGCCGGGCGCTCCTCGCCGCCGGCCCAGATCTGCGTGCACCACTTGGGCGTCGACGCCTTGGCCTCGAGGAGGCCCGTGTCCACGGGGAGAATGTTGTTCCGGCCCTGCAGCGCGAGGAGCTCCTTCTCCTCCTTGGCGGCCTCGTCGCGGAGCTGCTGGGCCTGCTTCCGCAGGGCCACGGCGTCGGGGCTCACGACCTTCGAGGAAAACGCGGCGGCGGACGCGGCGAGGAGCAGGAGTTTGGTCATGTTCTTAGCGGTCGTAGACTTGTTTGGAGCACCGGGACACGGCGCGGTGACTGGTGGCGGGCGGTGGGTACGGCGGCGTGGCGGCGGGCGGCGGAGAGCGTTGCGACCTCGCGAAGTGGACGTCGGGGCGACGCCGAACGACGACGCTTGACTGGGCGTTTTGAGCGTCTGACACAGCCAGGTGAACATCAATTTCGCGTTTTTAAAACGGTGCAACTTGACACCACCGAAGTGGCAAAGCGCCTCTCGTCGTCGCCTGCAGACATCCAGACGCGCCTGTCGTAGCACAGAAAGGGCACGCGGTCCAAGAACAGCCTGCAGCAGCAGCATCCGCGACTAGACCAGGCTTAGACCGCGCCGCGAGTTCGAACGCCCGTTTCGAACGCGCCGCGCACACAACAAAAAATCACAAACGCGCACACGACAAAAACCAGAGAAAGAAGCACCGCGAGTCCCTTAGAACCGCCCGCTCCTACAGGATCGACCCCTCGTCGTCGTTGGGCGCGACGCGGCTCGACGCGAGCATGCCCGCGAGGTCCGGCTCGCGCTCGAAGACGAGCCACTCCGCGTCGCCGACGCCCGACGCCTCGAGCACGAGGACGTCGCGCGACAGCGACGCGACGCCGAAGGCGACGTCGCGCGCCTGCTCGCCCTTGAGCTTGTTGCCCGTGCCGTCGATGCAGTCGCTGTAGGACAGCGCGAGGCCCTTGGTCGGCGACACCTTGGCGGACCCGAACAGCAGGTTCTTCACGTTGGGGAAGGGGCCGACGACGCGGATGACCTCCGTCGTCGTGATTTTCCGGTCGCTCAGCGTGAGGAAGATTTCCTCCAAATTCGCGAGCGGCACCTTGTGCAGGCCCGTGCCGATGTTGCAGACGCCCTCGTCGGACCGAGCCCAGACGAGCTTCCAGTCGCCGGCGGCGAGGCCCGGCGCGTCGGCCGCGGCGACCGGCGGCAGCGTTTCGAGCTCGCGGACGACGCCGTCGATGGCCGCGAGGTCGCGGTTCGACTCCGCGCAGAGCTCGAGGAGCCGGTCCTCCTTCTCGCTCACCTCGGCGCTCGACGCCGCGGCGTCGAGGCGCTGCGTGAGCGTCGCCGCCCAGTCCTTCGTCGCGCCGGCGCTGCCCGCGGACAGGTCGCGCATCTCCTGCAGCCGCGCGCCCTTTTTGGCGGCTTTTTTGGCTTTCTTCGCGTGGAGAGTCGTGGCGCGGTGCATAGTTGATGTTGGCGCGTAGGCCAACGCGCCGGCGGCGGCGACGAGCGCCACGACGGCGAGCTGCGTCACACCCATTGCGAGCGGCAACGAGGCGGTCGTGCTGTGCTCGATCGCGACGTTACCGCTACACGATGGTCTCGACGAGGCGCTCGACGCAACCTGCCGCCATGGAACTCGACGCTTCTTCCAAAACTGTACAATCTTCACACACACCACATGCGGCGCTCGTGAGCCCCGCGCCGCAGACGAACATCTGCCCCAGCGCTTGCGACGTCAAAACCATCAACGACCTCGCGCGCTTGCTCGAAGGCGCGACGCTTAGTGACGCTGCGAAGCGGTTATCCGCGTCACTCGTCGCGCTCGTCGCGCAAGACAACTTAGTGGTCGCGCAGCGCCTTCTTGATCACGCCGCCGCGCGCGCGCGCGCGGTCGCCGACCTCGCGGCGGCGAGCGATTCCTTCGTGTCGTTCGAGAACGACGACGACGACGACGCACCGCCCGCGTACGCGCTGAGCGACGGCGAGGCGGACGACGCCGAGCTCGCGGAGGCCGCGCGCCACGCGGAGCAGCCCGAGGGGGTCGTCACTCGCATGCGGTCGCGCCGCGCCGTCGCTGTCGTGACGCCGGACTCGGATTTGATGGAGCTGTCCGTGGAGTCCACCATGGATGTCTCCAACTCGGCGGCCGTCGGCACGACGGTGATCGTTTTCGGGCCGAACTCCTTCTTCACGTTCACGGGCCTCGCGTACGAGACCGAGCGGCGCGAGGCCATGGAGCTCGCGCACCGCGCGGGCGCCCAGACGCTCGTGACCCTGTGCCTGTCGACGACCTACCTGGTCGTGGGGTCGCGCGAGGGCACGCGGAAGCGGCGCTACGCGGAGGGCATTCACGAGGCGGAGGTCGTCTCGCTCGACGTCTTTACCGCCGCGGCGCAGGCCGCGTGCGAACACCGGTCGGCCCAGGGGACGGCAATTTTGCGAGTGGTCGTGACGCGCGCGGCGGCGGGCGGCGCGTTGACGACGGCGGTGTCCATCGTCGTGGCGGAGACCCCGGGCCCGAGCTACGCGCAGATCGTGACCGCGACGTTGTTGGAGATGCGTGCGGAGGGAATCGACGTGCTGTCGGATGATCAGATTTTGGAGAAACTGGGCCCGCGTCCTGAGAAAGAACGCGTGCCGACGACGCAAGAGCGCCTCGAGGACATCGGCCAGCCCGTATGCGGCTGCAGAGACTTGACGTGCCCTTTGTTCCACGCGTGCAGATGCACATCATGCGTTGAATCCAGACCCGGCAGATCGGGATATCAAATCTGCCACCAGGTCGACGCGTTTGGCGCGGACAACAATGGAGTCCGCAGGCTCTCTTGCCGAATCGAGCAGTGGATGAAGGCGAAAAAAGCTCTAAACGGCAGCTCAAAGAAAACTTCCCAGAAGTATTATAGCAACGAAGACACTCGGAAACGGCACAACGAACAGTCAGGGGCATATCACGCGAAAGAAGCCGAGGAGAGACGCAAGGTCATGGCCGCGGCGCGCGAGACGGAGTGGGGCGACCTCGCCGACGCGACGGAGGCGGGCGCCAAGAAGCGGGCCTGGGAAATTTACGGGCCGCAGATCATCGCTCACCTCCAGGCCGCGCGGAAGCGCAAGGGCTTCAAGGTGACGCGCCGCGCGTTCATCCAGGTCTTCATCCTCGGCACGAACAAGCGGACGCGGACCGTCCACGACGAGGGCCTGCTGGCGTCGCTGAACGGGAAACGGACGAAATACGCGGACGGGACACCGTCGCTGGGCGGCGCTCCCGGGCTCGGCATCTTCGAGGACGGAGAATTCGTGCGCAACCTTTATATGGACGCGCGGCGCGACATGGCGGACGACGAGGACTGCTTCCTGCTCGCGGACAGCCTGGGCTACGCCGACGTGTGCTGCTGGAACGAGGGCTACACGCAGGATTTCTGCGACCAGCCGGAGATCTACAAGAAGCACAACTTCCAGGCCGCGTGGCGCGACACGCACGTCGGCGTCCCCAGGGGCGCGCCCCCGTACGTCCTCGGCGCGCGCATCTCCTTCTTCGGGGAGGACGACTCCCCGCCGGCGGGCGGCACCCTCCACCCCAACATCAACGCGCGCCGCAGCGGGTAGACGAGTAATTTTCAGTTCCCGGGGCCACGACTGGAGCTTCCCGGCGCACCGCGCGAGTCCTCGCGCGCGCGACGACGGCGTCACACGAGCCCTGCTTCGTCGGCTTCGCCGGGAGAGGATGACGATGATGATCGGCGGCGGCAACCGCATGGCCGTCATTACAACAACAATCCTCCTCCTGCCGTACGCGCACGGCCTCGTCGCGCCGGCGCCGCGACGACCCGCGACGCAGCTGGACGCGGTGTGGTCCAACGAGCTCGCGATCCGCGACTACCAGAACCTGCTCCAGGGCAAGGCCGAGGCGCGGCGGGAGGACGGGCCGAGCGTCGTCCTGGGCCTGCCCGGCGACGCCATCGCGGCGAAATTCGCGGAGATGGCGCCCGGCGCGCCCGACGCGCTCCTCGCCTTCGGCGACGCGATCCCCGAACGTCTCGACGCGGCCGCGTACCCCGGCGCCGACGCGGAACGATTGAGCGAGTTCCCCATCTACGTCTGCTGCACGTCGCCGGAGGCCTGCGCGGCGCTCGAGCCCGTGCTCCAAACCGTGCCCGAGGGCAAGAAGGAGGACCTCGTCTTCCTGCAAAAGGGCGACATGCTCGAGGACCTGCTCAAGCGCCACGGCCTCTGCCGCGAGCGGCAGACGCAGGCCGTGCTCTACGTGGGCGTCAACGCCTACGGCAAGCTCGAGTGCGACCGCGTGTCCATCGGCGACGACGCCATGGGCGAGCCCAAGTTCGCCGCGGAGACGTGCGCGACGGGCAAGTGGGCGGGCGCCGTCGCGGACCGCCTCGTCCGGCACAAGTTCCACTGCGGCGAGCAGTTCTACCGCGACTGGCGGCGCAACATGATCGAGCTCGTCGTCTTCGAGTGCGTCTACAACCTCGTGGGCGTCCTCCACCAGAAGGTGCCCGTGAGCGAGGTCAACAGATACTTCTCCCAGGAGACCGACGACATGCTCTGGGAGATGCAGCGGGCGCTCCGGGGCCACCTCGCCGTGACGCTGTTGAGCGGCTGGGAGGAGCGCATGGCCGCCTACGCGGAGACCCAGTTCCGGTCCAAGAGCGACAACCGGCCGACGGGGGCGTCGGCGGCGAGCCCGTTCCGGAACAACTTCTTCTACGAGATATCTAGGAAGGCCCTCGAGAAGGACTTCCCGGACCCGTGCCCCATGCACACGGAGTACTGGGAGTACGGCATCGAGAAGGGCCTCGTCGACGCCGACGCGCCGCCCGTCGTCGCCTTCGCGGACGCGCCGGCCGGGGACCCGGCGCCCGTCGTCGCCGGCGACGCCGGCGCGCCCGCGGCGGCGCCGCCGGTGGACTATGCGGCGCAGCTCCGCGCGCAGATGGCCGGCGGCGCGTAGGGGGCGCCGCGCGGAGGAGTAACAATCCCCGGGGGTCTGCGGGGTCTGCGGCGCGGCGCCGGTGTCGCGGACCCGCCGCGGCGCCATCGGTCGACGATCGCGACACTGGCACCCGATCGAGTCTCCAACAAGTTCTCCGACACGAGTGCTAGGAGAGGGCGGGGGGTCGCGGCTTGCTTTCGCGCGCGCGGGTCTCTCGGCGGGGGGCGTGTGGCCGTCAGTCGTCCTCGTCGCTGTGGTGGATCGTGTCGTCGTCGTCGTCGTCGTCGTCGCCCGGCTCGATGGACTTGGCGTTTTTCAGGGACCGCGCGGCCGCGGCGGCGCGCGCCTCGAGGGCCGCGTGCTCCTTCTTCAGCTCCGCGAAGACGGCGGACGTCACGAAGGACGATGTGAATTTGTCGCGGAGCCGCGCGAGCGCCGCGGCCTCGAGGTCCGCGAAGACGTCGCGCGGCGGCGGCTTCGACGACGTCGCGAGCGCGCTCGCGCGGCGCGCGGCGGCCAGGGACGCGTCGTTGAGGGCCGGCAGCGCGCCGTCGGCGTCGAGGAACTTGTCCCGGATCTGGGCCGCGCGCGTCGGGCGGAGCCGCGCGTTCGCCGTCGACTTGTAGTACTCGACGGCCTTCGCGAACTCGAGGAGCTGGAGCCCCGCGGCGTCGCTCTCCTGGAGCCACTTGCCGAAGACGTTGTTGCCGACGTCGTGCTTGAGGAAGCCCGCGAGCGTCGGGCCCTTGACGAGGGCGCCGAGCCCGTCCGCGCGGCTCCGGAGCTGGCGCGCGAGGAACTCGCTCGTCGCCTGGGCAGCAAAAGGGTGATTCAACCTCGCTTCAACGTGAGTGTTCCGCGCGCGCGCGTTCCGAAAAAGCATCCACGCTTCGAGACCGTTCCGAGAGATGATCGCTCGTCCAAAAATCAGCCAAAACGAGTGGAAAACGGCCGAGATATGAGCCTTTGAAGTTGGGAATTTCGCTCTCTTTTGCTGCCCTGCTCGTCGCCCGGAGTTCCGTCTCGAAGGGCCGCGTGAGCCGCTTGAGGGCGCTGCAGAGCTTGAGGCGCTCGACCTCGTAGTCGGCGTCGTGGAGCAGCTTGTCGACGAAGGGCTCGGCCCCGTAGTAGCCCAGAACGCGCGTGAGCCGCGTCCAGTTGTGCTCGCGGACGTGCGGTTTCAGGAGCGGGAGCAGCGCGTCGTGCGCCTCCTTGATGCTCTTGGCCACGGCGGGGACGTCGCAGGTGCCGCCGCCCGCGGCCCGCTCCAGGGCGTCGCCGATGCAGGCCATGCAGGCGAGCGTGGGGCCCCGCGCGGGCGTCGCGCCCTCGGCGGTGACGACCTTGTTCGTGTAGAGCAGCACGGCCTTCGCGATGAGCTTCATCATGTCCTTCTTCAGGTCGCGCGCCGTCGGCTTGTCGCTGAACTTGCGCGCGGCGTACTTGAGGTAGGTGAGGATCGTCTCGCCGGCCTCGCCGAAGTGGGCCACGATGAGGGACCGCCCGCTCTTCGTCTCCGTCATCTTGCTCGCCATGTACTTCTTCGCCTTGAAGAGCATGGACGACATGGTCGTGTGTCTGGCTCCTCGAGCCTCGGAGCGACGTGCGGCGCGCCCGCGGCCGGCCACCCGGGGAGCGGGGCCCGTCAGGCGGGGCTGCCGGGCTCCCCCATGCGCGACAGGCCTGGATAAGCCGGGCGTTGCAGGGCAAGGTGTTGGTGTTGCCTCGAGAGCCGCGCCGGCTCATTGGGACCGCGCGAAGAAGTGCTCCGCGCACGCCGCCCCGGACGCGCCCCGCTCCGACCGCGCGGCGCCTGGGCCGCGCCGCACCCGCGGCATGTCGAACCCGTTCGTCGAGCCGCTCCTGCCGTCGGAGAACCGCCGGGGCGAGAACTCGGACACCTTCAGCAGCCTCCACATCGGCATCCGGGAGGACAAGACGGACGCCCTCCTCGGCGACTCGCTCCGCGTCAACGACGAGACCGAGGAGATCGGCGAGGCGACGCTGAGCCAGCTCCGCACGCAGCGGGAGCAGCTCCAGACCGCGTCGAGCCAGGCGCGCGACACGCACCAGGTCACGCGCGACGCGCGCGCGACGCTCAAGCACATCGCCTGGAAGGTCTTCCGCGAGAAGCTCACGCTCGTGCTCGTCATCGTGTGCATGCTCGTCATCGACTGCGCCCTCGCCTACCGCCTGATCACGCACAAGGGCGACCTCTGACCCCCGTTTTACATAACGCCTCCTCCACCGTTAGGACGATCGTCGCTCCCGCACGTCGCGCTCGACGAGCGCGTCGCCGTCGAAGCGGAACCGGCCCTCGAGGACGGCGCCGCCGAGGACGCGCGGGTACCAGAGCGCGTCGTCCGCCGGCATCTCCGCGTAGGGTATCGCGTCGACAGGGAACCAGGACGTCGACGCGTCCGCCGAGTCGCGGCGCCCGGCGCACTCCCGCCGCCGCGCGCGGTACACGAACTCGACCTCGTCCGCGTCGAAGACCGCGGCGCCGTCGCCGTCCGTGCTCTCGAAGGCGAACAGCGCGACCTCCTCGAAGCGAGCGACGTCCAGCTTCAAGCCCGCGAGCGCTCGGACGACGGCCGCGGCGGACGCTTCGTCGCTTTCGCCCTCGATGGCGTCGCCGAGGCAGGCGGTGTACTTGCCGGCGCAGGGGCCGTCGTGCCATTTGCACAGCAAGATCTCGTCGAGGTCGTTGATGATGAGCGTTTGCACGAGTCGATGCCGCTCCATCGGTGCGACTGTTTGGTGGTAGCGTTCGATGCGTGCGCGCGACGCACCCGTTGCGCTGCGCAGCGACTCGCGCGCGGCTTGTCCACAAGTTAGAGCATCAAGTTGGATAATTGAAGCAACGATGCCGCTTGCGCAAGAAAGCATGGACCCCCGGCCCGACCCAGCGCGGCAGCCCGCGAACTACCCCGACCCAGCGCGGCAGCCCGCGAACTACATGTCGGCCGTCGCGCGGCGGAACATCGACGCGCCGTCGGCAGCCGTCATCGCGGAGGAGACGGCGGCGTCTGCAGCAAAACTCGAGGAGCATCGCAAACGACGCATCACGACCACCCACTTCGACTGGCAGCTCGATTTGGGACCATGCGAGGGCCTGCGGCGCGACCTCGCGCGAGTAGCGGGGATGATCTTCCGGACGCTCTGGCACCTCGTCACGTTCACGCTCTACATGGAGGGCATGTTCATCCTGTTGCGATTGATCGAACGCGTCCGCCGGCGCCGGGAAAAGAGCGGCGCCGCCGCGGCGCCGCCGATGCGCGGCGTCGACGGGCCGCACCTGGACGCCTGGTTCGGGCCGCGCGTCGACCGCACGCTCGCGCCGCCGCTCCGCACGCTCGCGCCGCCGCTCCCCGGCGGCATGAAAAACGCCATGGCCTACAAGGCGCTCGGCCCCTTCGAGGTGTCGGTCGCTTCGCTCGGCGGCGCGAACTGGACTCGGGAGCTCCTCGGCTACTCGCACCAGTCCGTGGAGGAGCGCGAGCTGCTCGTCTTCGAGATGCTCGACTTTGCCTACGCGCGCGGCGTGAACCTCTTCGACTTATCGGAGTGCTACCCGGCCAAGGACAACGACGGCCGCGCCGAGACGCTCTTCGGGCGATGGCTGCGCGAGCGGGAGATCGCGCGCGGCTCCGTCGTCATCTCGACGAAGGTCGTCGGGCCCGGCGGCGACAAGGTGCTCCCGCACCGCTACGACGCGCTCGGCACGCCTCCCGGGGACCGGCCGTCGTTCGCGCAGCCGTCGAAACAGCAGATCCTCGACGCCTGCGAGGCGTCCCTGAAGCGCCTGGGCGTCGACCGCATCGACCTGTGCCTCCGGCGTCGGCGCGTCACCGCGCGCGACGCACCCGCGCCGCCGCAGGTTCGAGATCCACTGGCCCGCGCGCTACGTGCCGAAATTCGGCGAGTCCGGCGCGCGGTTCAACCCGGACCTCGCCGTCTCCTGCCCGTCCTTCGACGAGCAGCTGGACGCGATCGAAGCGCTCTTGGAGGCGGGCAAGATCGCGGCCTGGGGCGTGTCCAACGAGACGACCTTCGGCCTCACGACCTTCCTCGAGCGCGCGAAGGCTCGGCACATGCCCGGGCCCGCGTCGATCCAGAACGACTACTCGCTCTGCGACCGCCGCTTCGAGACCGAGCTCGCGGAGGCGTGCCACCACGGGGACGTCGGCCTGCTCGTCTTCGGCGCCATGTGCGGCGGCACGCTCTCCGGCAAGTACAACCGCGGCCGCATGCCCAGGGACGAGGCGAGGCATCGCGAGATGCCGGGCTACCAGGCGCGCTACACGTGCGCGGCGACGCTCCGGGCGGCCGAGGAGTACGCGGACCTCGCCGCCGCGCACGGCCTCTCGCCGGCGCATCTGGCGCTCGCGTGGTGCTACAGCCGGTCCTTCGTCGCGTCGACGATCCTCGGCGCGCGCCACGTCGCGCAGCTCGAGGACCAGCTCGACGCGCTCGCCGCGGCGGCCAAGGTCACGCCCGCGCTCGCGCGGGACGTCGACCGCGTCCACCACTGCTGCCCGAACCCGAACTACTCGGACACGCACGGCCAGTACTACGCGACCTAAGAAGCGCCGTAACCCGCGTGCGCGTGCGCGTACGGCGCGGCGAAGTGCGCGGCGACTCGGCCAAGTCATGATCAACACTGCTTCAAAAAAGCTGCATGCAGTCACAGTGCAGTGTGGCCTCGCGAGCATGGTGCGCCTAATCATCGACGGCTTCCCGCCGTCGACGTCGCAGGAGGACGCCACGGCGCTCTTCGAGTCCGCCGTCGCGCAGCTCGACGACGAGGACCGGCGCGGGTGCCGCGTGCACTACTTCGCGCCGGGCAAGGCCGGCACGAAGCTCGGCGACCGGCCGGGCCTGCTCTACGTGACGTGCCCGGAGCGCTGCGAGGACGCCTTCGCGGAGAAGCTGCGCCTGCGCTGCGAGCTGCCGCCGGCGCCGGCCGAGCCGACGCCCGCCGAGGCCGCGGCCGCGCCGCCCGCGCCGCCGGCGCGCGAGAGCCCCCGCGCGGCGCCGCCGCGCGACGGCCGGCGGCCGGCGGCCGTGAGCGTGGCCCGCGCGCCCTTCGACAAGCTCTTCCGCGAGCCGAGCCGCAAAGACCGCCGCGAGGACACGTGGCAGAGCAGCCCGGAGTACGCGGCGTACGTCGCGGCGCGCGACGCGGCGCCCGCGGCCGAGCCCGCGGCGCCGCCCGCGGACGCGCCGCGGAAGAACCCGCTCCTCGACTACATGAAGACGCACGGCTCGCTCTTCCGCCGCTACGCCGCCGCGCCCGGCGGCAAGAAGAAGGGCGCGGCGAAGAAGGGCGGCGACGCGAAGAAGGGCGAGAAGAAGGGCAAGAAGACCCCCCTCGCGAAGCCGGGCGAGGCGAAGAAGAAGAAGGCCACGCCGTTGACGAAGAAGGGCCCGGGCGCGCCGAAGCCCACCGGCGAGGCGAAGAAGAAGGGCAAGCCCACCCCCCTCACGAAGCCCGCCGGCGGGTCCTAAGCGCCTTTTTCTTAGAGATGGTCGGCTACTTCGCGAGGCCGAGGAAGCGCGCGACCTCGGGCTTGGAGCGGAAGATGCGGCCCGAGACGGGGTCGATGAAGATGGTGTCGCCGCGCTGGTTCTTGGCGACGTTCCAGTCGAGGACCTGCTCCCGCGTGCCGCCCTTCATGACGAGGTAGTTCGCGAGCTCGGCCGTCGCGTGCGCGCGGTTCTTGTGCTCCGGGTACTCGGCGCCGCGCTTCGTCGGCGGCGGCGGCCGCGGCGGCGGCAGGCCCAACAGCGCCGGCTCGAGGGGCACGTCGTCGATCGTGCCGTCGGCCTCGGCCTGCGGGTTCCGCGCGCGCGGCGGGTCCGCGTCGCGCGCGGCCTCGGCCCTGAGCTCCGCGCCGTCGTCGGCGATGGCCACGAAGCCCCGCGCAAAGTCGTAGGCGAGCTCGTCGGCGCGGCCGCCCTTGGCGAAGAACTCGGACACGGACTTGGCCGTGCAGTAGGCCTCGTAGGCGAGCGCCGTCTTCTTGCCCGACTTGGACGTGAGGTGCGACTTCGGGTTCGGCCAGACGAACTGGAGCGCCGCGTCGCGGGGCGCGAGGTCGTCGTCGATGCGCGCGCGCCAGTACTTCTTCTGCGTCGACTCGGCCTTGGCGGGGCCCGGCGGGGAAGCGACCGCGGCGCGCTTCGACGCCGCGAGCGCGAGCCTCAACTCCGTCTCCTCGGGCTCCTCCTCCTCGGACCGGCCGCGCTTCTTGATGGGGCGCCTCGCCGCGATCCGCGCGTCGTCGCGGCGCTCGAAGGTGAGCGCCAACGGCCGCGGCCGCGACCGGAGCCCCGCGACCCACGCGTCCCAGACGGCTTCGTCGCGCGTCCGCGCGACGTTTTCGCCGTCGACGAGCGCGAGGCGGTCGCCGGGCTTGACGCGGCCGTGGGCGACGGAGCTCGCGAAGACCTCGGCGACGACGACGTCGCCCGCCGCGTCGGCCTCGACGGAGATGCCGAGCGCGGGCCCGGGGAACGTGACGTCGACGCGCGCGTCGCCGGACGGACCCGGCCGCGCGAGGGCCGCGGCCTCGCGCGCGGCCTCGGCGGCGCGGGCGCGGGACACGTTCTCCGCCGACGCCTTGCGCTTGATCCAGTTCGTGATCTTCGTGTAGTAGTGCTGCACGAGCGGCGCCGGCGGCGGCGCCGGCTCGCCGGCGCCGTCCGGCGCGTCGCCCTCGGCGCGCGCGCGGCCCGCCTCGGCCCCGTGCCGGGACGCGTGGTGCTCCCGGGCGAACTGCCGCGCGAGCGCGCCGTGCGCCGGCCCGTGGATCGCGAGCGCGGCCGCGTCGCCGGGGTCGGCCTCGTGCGCGCGCTTCCGCGCCTCCAGGAGCTTGCGCTGGTCCGGCGTGAAGTGCAGGGGCTTGCTCCGGTCCGGCGCGGGGGGCGACGCGCCGGGGGACACCTCGCCGGGCGCGCCGCCGGGCGCCGCCTCGACGGAGCCGAACCGCATCTCCACGGCCGGCGCCTCGCTCGGCGGGGGCGACGGCTCCGTCGGCGTCGGGGCCGCCGGGGCGTCGGCGTCGGCGTCGCGCGCGGGCGGCGGCGACACGTCCTCGGCCTCGCTGACGGGCGCCACGTCCGCCTCGGCGCGCGCTTCGGCCATCGGAGAGGAACTCGCTTCGGCCATCGAGAGCGCGCTTCCGGCCGGGCCGAAAGCCGAAAGTGAGGATATCAAGTTGCACCCCAACGGGCCGAAAACTTTTTGGAAAAAAAGGACGCTCAGGCCGCATCTCGCGCGACGCGCACGCAGCTCCTCTGCTCCCCCCCCCTGCTCCCTCTCGAACAAAAACCCGGGGTTACGATCATCGCGACGGCGGCGGCGCGGAGAAGATCGTGAGCGCGAGCGCGAGGGCCACCGCGAGGCCCTTGGCCGCGACGTCGATCTCCGCCGGGGGCCGCTTGCGGACCGAGGCGACGATCTGGCCGATGTAGGACACGTGGACGACGGCCGCCGCGAGCAGGAACTGGGACAGGATTCCCGGCAGCGCCATCGCGGGGTCGCGGAGCGCGCGCTGCGCGCGCATGGCGCGGGCGTAGGAGCCGAGCTCCGTGGCGAGCAGCGAGACCTGGATCAACAAATTCGGCCCGATGCGGAAGGCCTGGAGCGTCGGGTCGGGCCGCAGGATGAGGAACGCCGCGGACGCCTCGTTGAACGAGATGAGCAGGATGAGGCTGCACCACTCCTCGTGCTGGACGAGGGCGCGGCCCTGCGTCGCTCCGCAGCAGGCGAGCATGCAGCCGCCGACGAGGGCGAGGGGCAGGTGGTGCTCGAGGAAGTTGCGGCGCGTCCAGTGGTACATCGTCGTCGCGCCGCCGGCCGCCGCGAGCGCCGTCTCCGCGCCGTAGAGCGCGAGCAGCGCGCCGAAGTCGCGGAAGAGCGCGTCCGGGTCCGCGTGGCCGTCGGCGATGATGCGCCGCAGGTGCGTCGCGCCGCGGCAGGACAGCGCGAGGTAGAGGCCGCAGACGACGGCGCAGACGGCCCGCGGCGCCTCGGCGAGGAACTCCTTGCCGAGCGGCGGCGGCGCGGCGCCGCCGTCGACGGTCGCGGGCGGCCGGCACATGCCGCGGGCGTCGGCGTCGCTGATTCACGAGGCGAACAACGAGCGCATCGCGATTCGATGGGCCGGTGCCGCACCAACCTCGAATATCGGCTCCTTCGGCCTCATAGATACCCATCAAACTAGCTGCCCGGCGCGCGATTGCATTGTGATCGACGCCGCTGTAGCTGCTCCGAGGTGGGCGACCGCCGGCGGGCGACAGCGGGCCGTCGACGTGGCGGTCTTTACCTAGGGTGGGCGGTGTCCGCCCGCCATGGTGCTCCCGAAGCGGAAGAAGGAAAATCATGGGGCCCTGGGCCACAAGAAGAACAAGGTCGTGCCCGTGCAGGGCAAGGTCGGCGCGCAGCGGCGCGGGTCGACGAGCCGGTCCAGCATGCGCACGCTCGAGGCGCACCGGCGGTCCTCCGTGATCATGGAGTCGACGCTCGCGTCGACGAAGCTCAGCGGCGCGCACAAGGACGACTTCGCCAAGGCCGCCGAGGCGGTGAGGAGCTACCGGCGGACGCAGATGACCCTCTTCCGCGACCAGCCGCGGCTCGCGGACATCCAGGGCGACGGCGGCGAGGAGGAGGACGACGACGACGACGAGGAGGAGAACGACGGCGACCTGCCCTTCCTCATCATCCATCCGACGTGCGACCCCAAGATCTACTGGGATCTGTACGTGTCCATCTGCATCGTCTGGTCGACCATGTCCGTGCCCTACGGCATCGGCTTCGGCGTCATGGCGTCCATGAAGTGCCTGCCGGGCCTCTTCATCATCGACTCCATCGTCGACCTCAGCTTCATGGTCGACATCACGCTCTGCTTCTTCACGGCGTACCGCGATCCGCTCACGGGGCGGCTGGAGACGTCGCGGTCCGCGATCGCGAAGCGCTACATGAAGTTCCCGAGCGGCGCCTTCTTCGTCGACTTCGCGTCGACCTTCCCCCTCGACTTCATCCAGAAGGGCGGCGACGTCAACCTGCCGTGCGACGGCGAGTCGAACGAGGGCTCCGCGGGGTCGCCCGCGCTGCGGATCCTGAAGATGCTGAGGATCGTGCGCGTCGCCAAGCTCGCGAAGCTCGCGAAGCTGCTGAAGCTGAAGAACGCCAAGGGCAAGGACGAGGACGCGGCCATGAAGACGACGATCCACCCGGCGTTCGGCTCCGTGTCGCGTCTGCTCCTCCAGCTCTTCTTCATCGGCCACTGGGTCGCCTGCGCGCGCCACTACCTGACCCTGAGCGGGCCGACGAGCAACTGGAAGACGGTCATGGAGGGCGACCGCGGCGAGAAGTTCGCGCTCAAGGGCCACGCGTACCTCGTGTCCATGTACTGGGTCTTCACGACGATGACGACGGTGGGCTACGGCGACGTGCCCGTCGTCGGCGACCGGGAGAAGCTCCTGGCCATCTTCGCCATGATCGTCGGCGGCGCGTGCTTCGGCTACATCATGGGCACGATCACGTCCATGCTCGAGAACTTCGACCAGTCGCAGACGCTCTTCCGCGAGCGCGTGGACCAGATCAAGGACTACGTGTACGACCGCCAGTTCCCGCCCGTGCTCTCGACGAAGATCGTGCGCCACGTCAAGTACGTCTACACGAAGCACACGTGCTTCGACACGGACCGCATCTACCCGTCCATCCCGACGGGCCTCCGCTACGATCTCATCCACATGATCCACGCGGACCTCATCAAATCCGCGAGCTTCCTCCGCGACTCGCCGCGGCCCTTCGCGGCGATCGTCGCGCCGAAGATGATCCCCATCCACGCGCCGGACGGCGAGTTCGTCTTCTTCGACGGCGAGGTCGCGACGCACCTCATGTGCGTCTTCGCGGGCGCCGCGCGCGCGGTCTGCCGCCTCGACGCGGAGGACCGCGGCAAGCACGAGGGCCGGCGGACGCTGGACGTGCGCGACTACGCGCCCGGCGACCTCATCGGGGCGCCGGCGCTCCTGCTGACGTCGACGTACAACGTCAACTGCGTCGCCGTCGAGCCCGCGGACCTCTACATGCTGCCCAAGGAGGATCTGTTGGACGCGCTCGCCGAGTTCCCGGACGTGCACCGGCGCCTCTACCGCGCGGCCGTCAAGGAGCACAAGGACATCGCCGTGCTGGCGACGGGCGGGAACCCGGACGACGCGCAGTCGCCCGGCGCGGACCTCAAGCAGGCCGCGGAGACGCTCGTGGGCAGCCCGCGCTGGGTCGAGCAGCAGGCGTCGCTGCGGGGGTTGGCCGCGGAGGCGGCGGCGGCGGCGGACGCCGGAAGCAAGGTCGCGCGGTCGTCGCTGCACCTGCTGCACCCGGCGAAATTCTCGCTCGTCTACCCCGTCACGTCGTTGCCGCCGCCGGACCAGTCGACGCCGCGCGAGCCCGGGAAGAAGCGAAAGGGGGGCGTTTCGGGCGACGACGACGAGAGCGACGAGGACGACGACGAGGACGACCCGTCCGTCGTGAAGAAGCGGGGCCGCGGCACCCTCGCGGTCATGCGCGCGGCGGCGTCGTTCCGCGGCGCCGCGCGCCAGGCGTCCAAGCTCAAGCAGGCCGACGCGTCGCCGGGCAAGGGCGAGGAGAAGACGCCGGAGCGCGCGGCGTCCTTCTCCGGGTCGGAGACCGTCGCCGAGGACCCGGCGGCGCCGAGCCCGTCGGGCGCGCCGCTCCGCAAGGCCAAGTCGCTGCTCGTCGGCGCGCTCGACGCCGCGCGCGCGGCGTCGGAGGCCCCGACGCCCGGCGACGGCGCGGCGAGCCCCGCCGGCGCCCTGTCGCCGTTGAGCGTGGGCACGGCCGAGGGCGGCGAGGGCGCGCTGAGCCCCGGGTCCGCGGCGTCGCCGGCCGTTGCCAAGTCGCCGCTGGACCTCAAGGTCAAGTTCTCCATGGCCGCGAAGAACGCCGCCGCCAAGAGCGCCCTGCTCAAGTCCTTCAGCTCCGGCGGCTTCAAGTCCTTCGACCAGGCCGACGAGGAGCCCGAGGCGCCCGTGAACATGACGCCGGGCGAGCTCTGGCGCGCGAAGCGCGTGCTGCACCCGGAGGCGAAGCCCAAGATCGGCTGGGACTTGTTCGTCTGCGTCCTCATCATCTACAGCGTCCTCGACGCCATCTACCGCATGTGCTTTCTGGTGCAGGCGGCGGGCGCGTGGTTAGCCATCGAGTGGTGCATCACGTCGGCCTTCGGCCTCGACTTCCTCATCAACTTCAACACGGCCTACATGAAGGAGATGACCTTAGTCTACGACCGGCGCCGCATCGCGCGCCACTACTCGAAGGGCTGGATGTTCATCGACGTCATGTCGACGGTGCCGTTCTCGAAGATCGTCACGGGCTACCCCCTACTGTCGCAGCTCAAGATCTTGAAGGGCTTACGGTTGGTGCGCCTCGCCAAGCTCACGCGCGTGCTCAAGATGCGGAATCTGGTCGACGCCCTCGAGGAGAAGCTCGGCGTGAACCCGGCGTTTTTTAAACTGGTCAAGCCCCTCGTGATCATGCTCTTCGCGGCGCACATCTTCGCGTCCGTGTTCTTCCTGCTGGGCATCAAGTACGAGCGCTGCCCGAAGAAGGCGTCCTGGGTCGACAACGTGTGCCTCTGGAAGGCCGACGACCTGTGCTCGTCGGGGACGTCCTTCGACCCGGACTACAAGGAGTGCCGCGCGGCCGTCTACGCGAACAACGCGACGGCGCCGCCGTCGCCCGCGCCCGAGGACGACGCCTGCGGCGGCTGCAGCGGGAAGCGCATCCGCGAGGCGGACCTCTACACGAAGTACATCACGTCGCTCTACTGGGCCGTGGCGACGATGACGACCGTCGGCTACGGCGACGTCGGCCCGTCGACGGAGCACCGCGGCGGCATGATCATGGTCATCGTCGCCCAGGTCACGGGCACCATGCTCTTCGCCTACGTCGTCGGCATCATGATCGACATCATCACGAACCTGGACCCCATCGACCGCCAGCGGCGCCAGGACCTCGAGGTCATCCGCGAGTACATCAAGGACCGGCAGCTGCCCGAGGCCATCGGCAAGGCGCTGCTCCACAACCACGACTGGCACGTCCAGTTCGGGTCCGTCTTCGACGAGCCGGCGCTGCTCTGCGTGCTGCCGCCCCACGTGCGGAACCAGGCCTACCTCTTCGCGCACCGGTCGACGCTCGGCGCGTGCCCGATCCTCTGCCGCGTCGAGCGCGCCTTCTCGGGGAGCCTGTTCGTCCTCGTGTCCCGTCTAAAGCCCGCGGCCTTCACGGTGAACCAGCGCGTGAACCACCCGCGGTTCAACTGCCGCGAGTTCCACATGATCATCGACGGCGCGGTCCTCGTCACGGACCGCTTCAAGACGGAGCTCAACGGCGTCACCAAGGCGAAGTTGGACGCGGAGTGCACGCCCCAGCTCCTGTCGAAGCGGGACCACTTTGGCTTCGCGACGATCTTCATGGACGCGTCCGTCGACTTCGTCGTCAACGTCGAGGTCGTCGCGACGGCCGTGACGCACACGCTGTTCCTGAACCGCGACGCCTGGGACGCGCTCGAGGGCACCTACAAGGCCCTCACGCACCACGTCGAGGCCCTGGCGGCGTCGCCGGCGGACATGGAGCGCTGGCTCTACGTGCCCCCGGCGCACCGCGACGAGTCGAAGCGCCGCCTCACCGCGTCCGCGAGCTACCGCGAGGCCCACGACTCCAAGCTCGAATCCGAGGCCGCGGAGCTCGCGGAGAAGGCCGAGGCGGCGCGCCTCGCCGAGGAACACGCGGACTCCGTCGCGTCGGGCGACGGCGACGACCGCGGCGTCGAGATGGGGGCCGTCGCGCCCGCGCCCGTCGAGCCCGCGGCGCACCGGACGGGCGCGGCGGTGCTGTCGCCCCTCGGCGCCGCCGCGCCCGTGGTTTCCCCCGAGGCGCCCGCCGCCGCCGAGGAGGAGAAGCCGGCCGAGCCCGCGGCCGCGGAGCCCGACGCCGACGGCCGGGCGACGCCGCCCGCGGACGACGACGCGAGCATCGTGCAGCTCCCCGCCGACGAGGAGGTAGCTGGCGAAGCCTCGGCGGAGTAAGATGTGTTGGTTTCGACTTTGGGAGGGTCTAGGAACCGGATGCCCTCACGGCGAGGCAGCAGAAAGCCCGGCATGGCAGAAGCCCGGGGACATGTGGTTTAGTCGCGCGCCGCTTCTTCTATGTGCAATGCGTGGGGCGCCTAGACCTGGTCCTGCTTCACGAGGCGGAGGTACTCGATCTTCGACGGCACGTCGCACGTGTGGTAGCCCGGGTAGGAAGCGTCGGCCTCCTCCTTGGACACCGTCGGCAGGAGAAAGACGGAGCCCTTGAACTCGTCGGTGGTCTTGCCATCGACGACGAGCTCCGCGTGGTTGTTGGGCCAGTTCGCGGGCGTCGCGATGGACTTCTCGTAGGAGAGCTTGAGCGCCTCGACGCAGCGGACGATCTCGTCCATGTTGCGGCCGACGCAGGCCGGGTAGTTGAGCGCGAGCATGAGCTTGTTCTCCGGGTTGACGATGAAGACCGCGCGGATCGTGAGCGGCAGGTCCTGCTCGTCGGACGTCGCGGGGTCGATCATGCCGTAGGCCGTCGAGATCGCGCGGTCCGCGTCGCCGATGATGGGGAACTTCACCTCGATCTTGTTCTCGCAGTGCGCGACGACGTCCGCGAGCCACTCCTCGTGCGACTTGACGGGGTCCACGGAGAGCGTCGCGACGAGGCAGTCCATGGCCTGCAGGTCGTCGTACTTGAGCGCGAGGCGCCCGATCTCCGTCGTGCAGACGGGCGTGAAGTCCGCCGGGTGGCTGAAGAGGATGGCCCACTTGCCCTTCTTCCACTCGTGGAACGAGGGCATGTCGCCGTGCGTCGTCTCGGCGCTGAAGTCGGGCACGACGTTGCCGAGGCGGAGCGACGCGTCCGACGACGTCTCCGGGTAGAGGCTCATGTACAGCTCCGTGCCCGTCTTCATCTCCGACATGGCGCCCTTGCACATCTGGCGCTTCGCGAGCGCGACCGGCTGGACCTGCGAGTTGCGTTGCCGCGTTTTGGTCTCGATTTCCTTCCTCTGCTTCTCTCTTTTCCGAGACGCAATTCATGCCCTTCGCGCGGCATCGCGTTGCGCGAAACGATGGACGCCGAGCAAGACGCGACGGGCGGCGATGTTGAGAGCGCGTGAGAGCATATTTGCTTGCGAGTTGGTTGGCAGCGACGACGCTGGTGACTTCCTTTGCGGTGGAAAGCTTCCGTGGCTTCGCGGCCACTCGTGCTGTTTCCTCCTGTGGCAACTGCACTTCGAGAGAGCGGAAGTTCAACGAAATTAGATCACGGCGTGCGCAGCCCGTGCCCCCCAGCATAGGAGCTCACAGCTGGACTCCCGGTCCAGCGCGCGAGGTCGTCGGCGTGCGGCGCGAGCACGTCGACGCGGAGCGGGTAGCACGCCGTCGCGTCGTCGGAGTGGGACGCGCTGCAGTCGCCGCCCGGGCACGCGGAGAGCGCGCCGAGGAGGTCGACCTCGGCGAAGAACTCGATGTAGTCGCCGGCGCGCGCGGGCGACGCCTTCATGAAGTAGCGGTGGTCTTTGTCGAAGCCCGTGGCCATGAAGACGTTGAGCACGTCGTGCACGTGGAGCTCCGCTTCCTCGGGCGCGAGGCCCTCGTGCGCCGCGAGCGCGCGCGTGAGGTTCGAGTGGCAGCAGTTGTCGTAGTCGACGCCGCGGAGCACGGCGTTCGTGTAGGGGTCGCAGCGCGTGCCGATGACGTCGTGGATCGACGCGCCGTCGTCGTCGACGCCGTACCACCCGAGCGTGTCGTGCGTGATCGTCGCCAGGGGCCGCATGTAGGGCATGCAGCTCCATAACCGGTCGCCCGTCGTCACGTGCGACGCGTGCAGCTGCCGCGTCTTCCCGCTGTAGAAGCGCTCCGCGAGGTGCCCGCGCCGCCAGAGGTTCAGGTCGCCGACCTGCGCGCCTTCGGCGCATACGACGCGGAAGAAGTGGCCCTTGGGCACCTCGAAGGCGCGGCCGTCGCGCGGCGGGACGACGACGGAATCGACGACGTCCAGGCGCTCGCGCATCTCTGCGTAGAGCGCCGCGTCGTAGGACGGCAGGTTTTCCACCTGGTAGCAGATGACGGGCGGCGCCGCGCGCCGCGCCGCCGCGTCGGGCGGCGCCGTGAGTTGTCGATGCTGCTGCAGCGGCGCGCGGCGCAGCGTTGCACGGCCGAGCGGAGTACGGAGCATCGTTGCTGCAGAGAAAGGCGTTCGGAGCATCGTTGCAGCAGAGAAAGGCGCCACCATCACTCAAGGAAATGAGTTGTGGCAAATCATGATGGCCGTGGCAAGAATGGCTGCGAGCTGCCGCACGGCGTCGCCTCATTGGCGCCGATGCGCAGCAGCGGTGCTCGCGCGGCGCTCCCTGTCGACGAGCGTTAAGCGCATCAATCTCAACGCGGACCTCGCCGAGGGCTACGGCCCGTGGACCATGACCGCCGACGCGGAGCTCATGGACATCGTCACGAGCGCGAACGTGGCCTGCGGCGGCCACGCGGGCGACGAGAATATCATGGTCGCGGCCTGTGCGCTCGCGGCAGCGCGCGGCGTGTCCGTCGGCAGCCACCCGGGCTACGCGGACAAGCCCGGCTTCGGGCGCCGCGTCATCCCCATGGCCCTCGACGAGATCGAGACCTTGGTGGCGTCGCAGACGGGCGCGCTGCTCGGCGTCGCGGGCCTCGCGCGGTCGCGCGGCCACGACGTCGCCGTGACGCACTGCAAGCCCCACGGCGCCTTGAACAACGTCGCGTGCGTGGACGCCGACGTCGCGGCGGCGATCGCGCGCGCGGTCCGCGCCGTCGACCCGGGCCTCATCATGCTCGCGCCGGCGGCGTCGGAGCTCCTGAAGGCCGCGGAGGAAGCGGGGCTCGCGACGGCGTCGGAGGTCTTCGCGGATCGCGCGTACATGGCCGACGGGACCCTGGCGCCGCGGGCCATGGCGGGGTCGGTGATCCACGACGCCGACGCCGCCATCGAGCACGCCCTTCGTTTAGCGTCGGGCGCGCCGGTGAAGGCCTTCGACACGGGCGAGGACGTCGTCCTCCGCGCGGACAGCATCTGCGTCCACGGCGACAAGCCGTCGGCCGTCGCGCAGGCGCGCGGCGTCCGGGACGCGCTCCTCGCCGAGGGGTTCGTGCTCTGCACGCTGCCGGAGCTCGTCGCCGAAAACAAGGGGGGTTTTGGGAGTGTGTAAACACGCGGGGTGGCTTAAGCTTGTAGCGGCTGGCAGCCTGAGTTTTGGGGCAACCTAGGGTCAACATCAAAAGTTCGTCGCTGTTGAATTCCACCTGATGCTTTCGTGCCCACTCAAGTTTCCTCCTCGCAGTGTGGGACCTCCCACTGCGCGGGAGTGCATCACCCCAGCACGGTACCTTCATAGTTCGCCCCTCGGGGCGCCGGGGAAGCTGATCCTCCCCCCGTGGGCCTTCGGCCCCTGCTGGGGGGCAGCCCCCCACCTACTTCGGCTTCTTCCGTCCGAGACCTAAAGGCCGTGTGTGCTCTTGTGCATGCGGCTTCCACAGGCCTAAAGTTCTCTAGGGGCTCCAGTGCACTGGGAAGCCGATCCGATGGGCAGCGCCCGACTTTGACAGCCGCGTTCGGCGGCTCGGTCCGCCGGGCGCCCCGGCGGCCTTCGAGCCCGCGCCGCGCCGGTGGGCGGTCTTCGACGCGCCGCTCTCGATCTCGAGAGACGAGCACGATTTCGGGGCGAACGGGGCCTCTGGATCCGGGCCATTTCGACGCGTCGAGGGGCGATATGTCGGTCCTGGTGCCAAAAAAACTGGGGCGCGCTCAGGGAATCGCGAAGGGATAGTGTCGCGATGGGATTCCCCGCGCGCCCCCCAGTTTTTATGTCCATCATCACGCGCGCGCGCGTGGCAGCCCCGGCGGTGCGCATCGAGCGCTCCGAGTGGTCGTGGCGGTCAGCGCCGGGCCCAGAGGACGATCTACGCAGCTGGGGCACTCGAGGGGTGTCTGAGAGGGCCTCGAAGCGGTCGCGGGTGTCTCCAATGCGCGTTTCTCGGGTCGTTGACCAGGTTTGAGCCGCGGCGCGCGTCGTGCTTGGCAGCCCGTCCAGAGCCGAGTTTCGGCATGGATGGCTGCTTTTCAGCTTTGGTCCTCCAGAGGACATGTTGGACGGACCCCTGATGCGCTGGGGTCCAGCGGGAGGGTCGCCAGGGGGTGTTTTGGCGCCCACCATAATCACTGTTCATGACTACTCAGAGAGTCCAATCGATCAATGGTCTATCAGTTGACTCATGACCTGTTTAAGCACAGTTGATTCGACTGAGCGGAGGGGGAGGTCAAGCGGGGCCAGGGCGTGGTTTAAAAGGCCTGCCGTCGGCCCGGGGGGGGCGGCGTCTCCCTCGGCTCTCCCCCACCGACGAGTGCGTCCGTAGATGGCACATGCGTCGGTGTTTTAAGTCGAGGCCCGCGCGAGGCGCGCGGGACTGGACAGCGCGCGCCAGCTCTTCGGCGAAGGCGTAGGTACGGCAGATGATGTCGCCGGGGAAGGTCTGCTTGGGCTCGGCGTAGCCCACGCCGCAGAGGCTGGCGCCGTGGGTCTCGGACGTGCACGCGGTTGCCCTGAAAGCCCGCCGCGCGGCGGCGAGCGATTCGGGCGCCGCGGAGAGTCTCGAGCCAGCGCGCCTCCATGGAGCGCGGCACGGTCGTGCGCCCCCCTCGAACGCGGAAGTCGGCGGCCTCGAGGGTCCGAACCGAGAGATGCCCGGGGGCGCCGAACCAGCGTGCTCGCGCACGACCTGAAGTCGCCGCCGCCAACCGACACTGGATGGGACGGGAGCCGGAATGCGCCACCGTCAAGCCGTGCACGGACAACGTCGCGCCGGACTCCCAGACGAGCAGCGGGCCCGCCATGGTCGGGCTGGGGGGCAGCGACGACGGCGCGAGCTGCGGCACGGGCTGGCTCTTGGGCTGCTTCTAATGCGCTCTAGATTAGGCCTGTGTTCTCCGACGCTAAATAATAAATAATAATAATAATAGTTATAGATACTATTCAACAGTATGGAATGCACCTTTCGGACCCCCATATTGATGTCAAGGCGCCACTGGGCAGCCCCTCGCCAACCTTCTCGGTGCCGCCATGCTCCGCTGCCTCGTCGTCGTCGCCCTCGCCGCGGCGGCGGCCGCCCGGGTCCTGGTGGTCGGGCCCGACGCCAACGACGTCGTGCGCCTCCTCGCGGCTCACCCGAATGCGACGCGGTCCCCCGACGCCGCGGCGGCGCTCGGCGCCGCCGCGCCCGGCGACGCCGTCCTCCTGCTCGCGCCGGCGGCGCCCGCGCGGACGCCCGTCCCGCCGGGCCTCGCGGCCGCAGCGGCGGCCGGCGGCTTCCGCGCCTACGTCGAGTTCCCCGACGACGGGTTCCCCGCGGCGCCGCGGTCGTGGAAGGACCGCGTCGTCGTCGCGTCGTCGAACCTGTCGGCCGCCGGGCTCGACCCCCTGCGCATCCTCCAGCTCCAGGACCCCGTCGGCGTCGACTACTGCGCCGGCGGGAGCTGCGGCGCGGCGAACGCGTCGTCGGCCTGCGGCCGCGCGTGCGCCGCCGCCGCGGCCGTCTTCGCGCGGGTCGCCGGCGTCGACCGGGCGGCCTACGGCCTCGACGCCCACGCGCCCCTGCTCTTCGCCAACGGCTCGGGCGTCCTCGTCGCGGCCGCGGCGCTCTCGAACGTCACGACCGGCCGGTCCGCGCCGGCGGACGCGTGGCGCGCGCTCTGGTCCTGGGTCCTGGGCTTCCCGCTGCCGGCCTGGCGCGCGAGCGTGGCCCCCGCCTACGCCGCGGCCGCGCCCCTGCCGGCGTCGCACGCCGCCGACGCCGTCGCCCGGTCCGCGCGCTGGATCAGCGACGCCTCGGGGATGATGGCGCGGCAGGACCGGGGCGCGAACGCGACCTACGGCTGCTGCCGGTCGACGAGCGGGACCATGGCGTGCGCGCTCGAGGCGTGCACCGTCGCCATGATCTGCCCCGCGCCCCACGCGCCGCCGGGCGTGGCCAACGTCACGTGTCTCCAGGAGGGCTGGTCGTCGATCATCCACGCGGACGGCGCGCAGCACATGATGCCCCTCTTCGTCCGCACGGACGGCAACGCGGCCGCGGCCATGGCGCTGGCCGCCGCGGCGGGCGCGGCGGGCGGCTCGCCGGCGGAGCGCGCGGCGTGGCGCGACGCCGCCGCGCGGCTCCTCGACTACCTTTTTCGCTGGAGCGAGAGCCAGTCCTTCGTCGGCTCGAACGCGTCGGACCCGACGCACGGCCTCGTCTGGTGGAACCAGCGGGACGCGGCGGCCGCGTCCGGCGGCGTCGCGAAGTGGGCGAGCGTGGACTACGGCTCGAACGCGGCCGTGATCCTCGTGGGCGCGACGGCGGCCGCGGGCCTGCTCGACGCGAGCTCGTGGCGCGAGCGCATGCTCTACGCGCTCTTCGCGGAGGCGCGCACGACGGGCCGCCTCGGGAACCGGCCGGGGGCCGTCAGCGCGGCGGACCTGCGCGCGAACGGCTGGCGCCACTACTTCGCCGACGCGGCGCTCCCGTCGGGCAAGACCTACAGCCCGCACTACGGCGCGCAGGCCGCGGCCTACTTCCTGTTCGCGGGCGCGCACACGGGGTTCGAGGACCTCTTCTGGGGGCCCGCCAGGGGCTACGCGCGGGGCGCGATGGCCTCGCTCCGCGCGGGCGACTGGACCTGGTGCGAGTCCATGACGAACGAGCTCGCGACGCTGCTCCTCACGCTCGCGTGGCTCGTCCGCGTCGACGGCACGGCCGAGCACCGGTCGTGGCTCGACGACGTCGCGGGGCGCCTCCTCGCGTACCAGACCGCGCACGGGGGCATCAAGCAGTTCTTCGGCGCGGGGCCGGAGGCGGGCAAGTGCTCCGCGTGCGTCCCCGCGTCGAACGCGGCCTACGGCGACGGCGAGGCGCCGCTCATGTTCGACGGCGACGAGCCGCTGACGGACAGCCTCTACGGCCTCAACTTCGCGCTGATCGGGCTCCGCGAGGCCTTCGGGGCGACGGGCGACGACGCCTACGGCGACGCGGAGGCCGCGCTCGCGGCCTACCTCGCGCGGATCCAGGCCTCGAGCGCCGCGCACCCGGAGCTCGACGGCGCGTGGTTCCGCGCGTTCGACTACGAGCGCTGGGAGTACTGGGCGAGCGACCGACTGGGGCTACGGGCCCTGGGTGACGGACAACGGCTGGACGAACGGCTGGATCCAGACGGCGCTCGCGCTGCGGAGCGAGGACCGGTTCCTCTGGGACGTCATGGCCGACGAGGGCCGCGCCTGGGACCCCGCGCAGCTCGCGCGCATCTGCGAGGACATGCTCTTGGACCAGGCCGCGACCTACTGCGTCCAGGCGGCGCGGGAGACGACCGCGGGGATGGCGCAGCCCCGCTCGGGAGCCCGCGATGTGGGAAATTAGGCGTGGCGCGCAGTCGTCGGGGTCGGGGGGCGGGGCCTCGGGTGGGGGGGGGGGGGGCTCGCGGCCGCGGCGGCCGCGCGCGCCGGGCGTCGTCGGGACCCGCCGCGCCTACGCGGCCTTGGCGGGGAGCATCTCCGTGCCCTCGTCGTCGTTGGACCGCGCGCCCGACTTCTGGGGCGGCGTGGTCTTCGGGCTGTCGAGGACGAGGACGAGGTTGATGAGGAACTGGAGCGGGGGCACGTCGACGGCGATGGCCGCGCAGAGGCCCAACTGGTGCGCCGTGAGGGGCCGGACACGCGGGGTGGTTAGCTGCTGGCGGTTTTGAAGCAACATAGGGTCAATTATCAAAAGCTCATCGCTGTTGAAGTCGAGTAGTCGCCGCCGCCGCCGTCCGTCGCGACCGGCTCACGATGGTCAAGACGCGCAAGCAAAAGGCGGAGGCCAAGGAGGATGAAGCCGAAGCCGAGCCCGAGGTCGTCGTCGAGAAGAAGAAGAAGTCCAAGGATAAGAAGGAGGCGGCCCCCGCGAAGAAGAAGTCCAAGGGCCTGCTCGGCGGCTGGCTGAACATGTCGACGCTCGCGACGCTCGCGGCCTGCGCCTACGTCGGCGTCGCCTTCACGAACTTCAGCCGCCTGCTGGACCCGCTGAACAACCTGCCGCCCGACGTCTGGGCCCGGAGCGGCCGCGTGAAGCCCCTGTGGCCCGAGAACTCGACGCTCACCGTCGAGGTCGCGATCTCGACGCTCGCGGTGCTCTCCGCGGACGTCATGCGCAACGCGTCGCTCTACGAGCAGTCGACGGCCATCGCCTGGCGCGCGACGGGCGTCGAGCTCTCGACGGCGACGGAGCCGCAGAAGAAGCCGCTCCAGCTCTGCGCGCGCGGCTCCGACGCGGGCGCGTGCGGCCGCGAGGCCCTGGAGAGGCAGCGCACGGACGCCGGGCCCGGTTTTCTCGCGAAGCTCTTCGGCGCGGAGCGGGAGGCGCCGCGGGACCGCGTGGACCTGCCGCCCATGGCCTGGGAGGCGCTCCGGACCAACGGCACGCTCTACCTGCACAGCGCGATCACGAACGAGGCCGCCGGGGGCCGGTGGTCCGGTCTAGCCGACGCGGACCACCGGCGCACGGCGCGCGTGCCGTCGATCCCGCTCGTCAAGTACGAGCCGGAGCCGACGGGCTCCGCGGCGCAGAAGAAGCGGAAGCTTCTGGGCGACGTCGCGCCGCGGCTCGCGTCCCTGGGCCCGCCGGCGCCCTGGGCGCCGACCTACAGCGGCGTGCCCGGCGCCATGTGCGGCAAATGGAAGCCCGAGGCGGCGGTGCGCGTCGTCGCGGAGTTCCGCGAGTGGCCCGACGCGCTGCAGATGCCCGGCATGCAGCGGCTCCGCGAGCGGCAGCCCGGCGGCGGCAGCATCCTCAAGTACGCGCCGCCGACCTACGCGGACGAGATCGGGCTGACGAGCGACAAGTACGTCCTCGTCAACGACACCATCGACGCGCTGCCGCTCGCCTTATCGTTCGCGCCGCTGAGCTTCGCGCGGTGGCAGCTCATCGCGCGCATGGAGGAGGGGTTGCAGGACCAGAAGGAGGACTTCGGGTTCACGGACAACGACATCGACGACGTGCGGCGCCTCATCGCGGACACGCAGACCTGGCTCCTCGCGGTGACGATGCTCGCGTCCGTGCTCCACCTCCTCTTCGAGTTCCTCGCGTTCAAGTCCGACGTCGAGTTCTGGCAGAAGAACACGAGCCTACGGGGGCTGAGCGCGCGGTCCGTCGTCGTCGACCTCTTCTCGCAGATCGTCGTGCTGGCGTACCTCGTGGACCAGGGCGCGTCGCTGCTCGTGTCCGTGCCCGCGTTCGGCGCGATCCTCATCCAGGCCTGGAAGGTCGAGAAGGCGACGGGCGTGCGCTTGAGCTGGAGCTCGCCCTACTGCCTCAAGTGCCACCGGCTCGACGCGCTCGCGGAGGCCGCGGCGGACTCGGGCGACGCCGCGGGCGACGCGCTCGACCGCGAGACGCTCCGCGTGGACCGGCTGACGACGTCCTACCTCGGGCTGGTGCTCGCCCCGCTCGTGCTGGGCTACGCCTGCAAGACGCTCGTCTACGACGCGCACCTGGGCTGGTACTCGTGGGCGCTCGGCGCGGCGACGTCCGCGGTCTACACGGGCGGCTTCATCCTCATGACGCCCCAGCTCGCGCTGAACTACAGCCTCAAGTCCGTGAGCCACCTGCCCTGGAAGCTCCTCTGCTTCCGCTTCGTCAACACGTTCATCGACGACCTGTTCGCGTTCGTCATCAAGATGCCCATGATGCACCGCGTCTCCTGCTTCCGCGACGACGTCGTCTTCGTCATCTACCTCTACCAGCGGCGCATCTACAAGGTCGACGCGGCGCGGTCCACGGCCATGGAGGACGAGGCCCATTAAGAGAAAGCACGCCCCCTACTTGTCCTCGCCGGCGCCGTCGCGCTTGTGCTTCACCGCGCGGAGGAAGCGGTCGAACTGCTGGAGGAGGAAGGGGCCGTCCTCCAGGGACGCGTTGATGACGTTGAGGTGCTGGAGCTTGGGGCTCGTGCGCTGCCGCGTGCCGCGCTGCGCGTTGGGGTCGAAGGCGAAGACGACGCACGCCTCGTCGGGGAGCTCGTTGTTCTTGACGAAGTAGTCGTACCAAGCGCCGCTCTCGCTGACGTGGCCCTCGTTGTCCGGGTTGTAGACGAGGATGACGCCCGCCGTGTCCTTCATGATCGCGGGCCAGCAGCTCTCGTAGTCCGTCGAGCCGCCCGTGTCCCAGAGCTCGACGGCGGACGCGGGGCCGCCGCCGACGGCCCGCTCGCACTCGAGGATGCGCACGCCCACCGTGGGCACGTAGGCCGACGCGAGCTTGAACTGGGCCCGGTCGCTGTCCGCCGCGAGGAAGTTCGCGATCGTGCTCTTGCCCGCGCCGGAGGGGCCGACGACGCTGATCTTCAGGCCCGTGGGCTTCTTCTCCTCGGCCATCTCAATGGGCAGGTAGCTCGACGGAGCCACGGAGCACCGTGCGCGGGCGGCCGAGACGGACCGCGCACGCACACCGACGACGGCTCGCAGCGACGGCGGCGGCACGCGAGGCTGCCCGATTCGAACGAGCGGCGGTCTACTGGTGAGACGGTGCGGTAGATGTTGCCCCTAGCGCATAACTCCTTCAATGGGATTCTTCAAAACCACACACAGTTCAGTTCTGGTTGGCAGCGTGCGATGCGCGTGCTCGTGGCCGTCGCGCTCGCGCGACTGGGGGCGTCCCAGACCTGCGACGTCCTCAGCGAGTCCTGCCTCATCTCCTGCGACGGCGACCACGTGAGCTGCGACTCGTTCCTCTTCGGTGGGGATTGCGTGTGCGATCCCGGTAAGTTCCGACTTTGCCGCCGACGGTAAAACCAGCGTCTTCGTAGGCTACCCCTGCTTCTGCGCCGCGACGCACGAGTGCTACGCGACGTCCTTCTGCCCGACGCCGAACCCGACGCCGCAGCCGACGCCCCATCCGACGTTCGCGCCCGTGACGTCCGAGCAGCACTGCGTCCCGGACGTGGAGGAATGCACCTTCTACTGCGACGGCGACGGCCGCGTCTGCGACAACAACATCTTCTCTGGCTCCTTCATGTGCGTCTGCGACACCGACGAGGGCTACGACTGCTTCTGCGAGGACGGGAACTGCGCGATCCGGCGCCGCGGCGATCTTCGAGAGACTTGGACAGCCGTCATTGTTCGTAGGCTACCAGAACGGGTTCTGCCCCATGTCCGCGCAGACGCCGCGGCCGACGCCCTATCCGACCTTCGCGCCCGTCACGCCCGAGCAGCACTGCGTCGAGGACACGGAGGAGTGCTCGCTCTGGTGCGACGGCGAGGGACGCATCTGCGACTCGTTCCTCTTCGGCGGCCGCTGCGTCTGCGACGTCGACGAGGGCTACGATTGTTATTGCGAGGATGGCAACTGCTCGTGCGCCGGTGTCGTCGCACGCTCGCCGAGAAACTCGGAGACCTCCGCGTTTTCGCAGGCTACAAGAACGGCCACTGCCCCATGTCCGCGCAGACGCCGAACCCGACGCCGCACCCGACGTACGCGCCCGTCTTCCCCGAGTTCCACTGCATCGAGGACACGGAGGAGTGCTCCCTGTGGTGCGACGGCGACCACCGCGAGTGCGACTCCTTCCTCTTCGGCGGCCGCTGCGTCGGCGAGGAGGGCTACGACTGCTTCTGCGAGGACGGCAACTACTACGCGGGCGGGTCGTGCCCCTCCGCGGCGCAGACGCCCATGCCGACGCCGCACCCGACGCCGGCCCCCGCGCCCGCGACGCACCAGTGCCGCGTCGACACGGAGGAGTGCTGGGTGTCCTGCGACGGCGAGAACCGGGGCTGCTCCGTCTTCGACGGCGTCTGCGAGTGCGACGAGGACCACCCGTGCTTCTGCGACGACGGCAACTGCTACGCGGGCACGTCCTGCCCGACGGCGTCGACGGACCACGGCGGCATGAACGTCATCGGCGACATGGTCCTCGAGGGCGTCACGGAGCTCGGCGCGTCGACCTATGCGTCCGTCTGTGCCGAATGCAAATCTTCAACTCGAATTCAATGTGAGCGAACGCGACCGTTTCGACGCAACCTCTTCGGCTTTGCTTCGAGAACTCGACGAGAGCAATCGATTCGTCCAAAATCAGCCGAATCGACTTCGATTTGACCGAGCTAGAGAATTCTGAAGTTTGGTCAGGACCACCCAAACCAGTGGTTGAATTCGGCACAGGCCTCCGTCCTCCAGACCGCGCTCGCGGCCGTCGCGGGCCACGACGACGCGTCCGAGATCTCCTTCACCTTCCGCAGCTCCGACACGCAGCTCCTCGTGCTCTTCACGATCACGGGCTTCTACCACTACGACGACGCCGAGGCCGTCGCGGACCTCGCGGCGTCGACCGCGCCCGAGGACGTCACGAGCGCGATCGCCGCGGCGGTCGCGGACGACGACGGCGGCGCGGCGGCCGCGTGGGCCGCCGCGTCGGCCGTCGTCTACGAGAACGTCCAGGTCGCCCACTTCACGCCGGCGCCCGTGCCCGGGCCCCAGCACTGCCTCGTGGACACGGAGGAGTGCTTCTTCGGGTGCGACGGCGAGGGCCGGTCGTGCAACGTCTGGGACGGCGTCTGCGAGTGCGACGTCGACGACGGTTATACTTGTTTTTGCGGCGACGGCAACTGCTACCAGGGCGAGGCCTGCCCGGCGGAGACGCTGCCGACGTACGCGCCCGTCCTCGAGGCGCGCGACTGCCTCCCGGACACGGAGGAGTGCTGGTTCTCCTGCGAGGGCGAGCACCGCGAGTGCGACATTTTAGGGGGCGGCGTCTGCGTCGGCGAGGAGGGCTACGACTGCTTCTGCGCCGACGGGAACTACTACGCGGGCGAGGCGTGCCCCTTCGACACGCCGTGGCCGACGCCCGTGCCCGAGACGTGCGAGGAGGCGCCGGGCGACAAGTGCCTCCTGTACTGCGGCGACCTCTTCGACACGATGCACATGTCCTGCGAGGACTCGCGCTGCGTCTGCGACCCGGGCTACCCCTGCTTCTGCAGCGAGGGCGAGATCTACGACTGCTTCGCGGAGACGTGCGGCCGGACGTCGCCGCCGACGTCGTCCGTCGACTACAGCACGGTGTCGTCGGAGACGGGCGTCAAGGTCACGCACAACAACGTCGGGGGCATGATCCTGGCCTGCATCGGCGGCCTCGCCTGCTTCTGCTGCTGCTCGAGCTGCTTCCAGATGCTCATCCGCACGTGCCGCCGGTCCCTGGGCCACAAGAAGCAGAAGAAGGCCCACCTCGGCTTCTGGGCCGTGCTCAACGGCACGCTCGTGCTCTGCTGCGCCTGCGTCGCCCTCTACCCGACGGAGCCCGAGGTCTGGTTCGGCGCGGAGCACATCTGGATCGAGGAGACGAACGTCGACTGGGTCGACTGGCTCGACGTCGACATGACGATGACCGTCGCGGGCTACCTCGACGTGACCATCGTCGACCACAACTACCTCTGGGCCGTGGACTTCGACGGGGGCCTCCAGTTCTCCGTGGAGACGGAGGACGGCTTCGAGCTCGCGACGGTCAACGTCGACCCGTTCGAGATCCACGCGGGCGACACGAAGGAGATCCGCGTCGAGGTCGTCGCGAAGCACAACGTCGACGTCGAGTCCATATCGAACCTCGCGGCGCTGGGCTGGGGCTGCTTCGACGACGATTTGAACGAGATCAATTTAGTTATAAGGGGCTCGGTGCACGTCGTCATCGGCTTCTACGAGTACGACAACGTCGGCGAGCTCGACGGCCTCGTCGTCCCCATCGGCTGCTTCTCCGAGGACGACGCCGACTTCTACAACGTCTACGAGGGGTCCACGGGCCTCCTGGGCTCCCTCAACTCGGGCGAGGTCGTCGCGGTCTTCGCGGCCGCGGGCTACGTGCTGTTCCTCGGTCTGTGGATCTACGTCAAGCACATGGCCACCGTCGCCGCGGGGGGCGAGGACGAGACGGAGGAGGACCGCCAGGTCGAGATGAGCGACGGCTTCGCGAAGCGGAAGACCCAGTTCGCGGGCTCCGCGGGCCGCGCCGCGCCGCGGCGCGCGTCGGGCTTCGCGAACTTCACCTACGGCGCCGCGCGCCGCGCGTCGGCGCTCTTCGGCGTCGAGAGCCGCGACTCCATCGGCGACCCCTACGGAGGCCGGTCCTCGGAGGTCGAAGGCACGAGCCCCATGCACACCCAGAAGGCCAAGCCCAAGGCCGACGAGTGAGCCGAGCCCCCCCGCGGCGGCGCCTGCCCTCCCCCCGGGCCGCCCCGCCCTCCCCTTTTAACGACGAGCTGCCCTTAGAACGACGCGCGCCGCCCCTCGGGCGTCATGGACCGCGACGGGTAGTCGCCGTAGGCGCCCGGCGGCGCCGTGTCGATGGACGCGTGGCCCGCGGTGCTCAGGGACGGGTCGTCCGGCGCGCGGCGCCCGCGGCGCTTCCGTCGGCTCCGGCCCCGGTTGCTCTGCTGGAGGGGCGCGAGCGCCGCGGCGCCGACGCGCCGCGCGTCGTCGAGCATGCTCTCGAGCTTCGCCTGCGCCGCGAGCTGCCGCGGGTCGTGCGTGCCGTGGCCGAAGGGCGTCGCCGTGAAGTGCTGGTTCGGCAGCGGCTCGAGCTTCGCCGGCTGCGCGCGGTCCGCGCCCCGCCGGAGCACCTGGTCGCCGAGCACGGAGTTCTGGCGGAACTCCTGGCGCTCGTGGACCATGACGGTCTGCAGCACGGTGTAGCGCTCGTCGGCGCCCGCGACCTTGTGGCTCATGGGCCGCGGCGGCGCGCGGCGGCGGACGACGGGCAGCACGCCCGGCGCGACGGCCCGCTTCTCCGGCTGCGGCGGCGGCGCGTCGACCTCGGGCTTCGGCGCCTTCGCCGCCGGCGGCGGCGCGTCGACCTTCGGCGGCTTCTTGCCGCGGTCGGGCCGGTCCGCGGACTTGGGCACGCGGACGACGAGCTTGGGCTTCTCGTCGCCGGGGAGCACGCCCTCGAGGACGCCCTTGGGCAGCTTGGGCTTGGGGGGCGCGGGCGGCTCGGGCCGCGGCGGCCGCGCGCCGGAGCCCGGGTTCGACTGGTAGAGGCCGCCGCGGTCCGCGCCGGACCAGTCGAGCGCGTGGTTCTCGATGGCCCGGACCTCGCGCTTCGCGCGCGCGGCGACGACGACGACGTTCGGGCCCTTCTCCTCCTCGACGGCGGCGGCCTTCTTCTTGCGCAGGCGCCGCTCGCGCTCGACCTTGGTCTCGACGACCTTCTCCTCCTTGGGCGTGAGCTTGGCGACGACCCGGGCGCCCGCGGCGAGCGCGCGGTCCGCGGCCTGCGCGTCGTCGAATTTTAAGGGCGGCAGCGCCGCGAGCCAGTCGTCGACGCGGTCGTCGTCCCAGCGGAAGACGGGGTCGCCCGCGGCGTTGGGGACGGCGAGGCGGTGGACGAAATACCGTAAAAATCGCAGGAACTCCTCGACGCTCAGGCCGACGCGCGGCGGGCCGACGCGCTCCTGCGGGATGAACGCGTCGACGAGCTGGAAGAAGCTCAGGCGGAACTTGTTCTTGTCCATGAGCTCGACGCCCTGGCTGTCCATCTGCCACTCGCGCTCGGCGATGCGCAGCGCCTTGGCCTCGAGCTTTTTTCGTTTTCTCGGCGGTAAATTCAGTAATTCCTGGGGGTTCATCGCGCCGTAGAGGTGGCTGTGGAGCGCGAGGTACTCGTCGCGGTCGACGGCGCCCGAGCCGTCGGCGTCGACGAGGACCCAGATGGCGTCCAGCGCCTCGATGACCGACGGGTCGAAGCGCGCCGACTCGCGGAGCAGCAGCGCGAGGTCGTTGTGGTCGTCGTCGGGCGCCGCGCGGCGCTTCCGCTCCATCCACGAGTCGTCCGTCGACAGGAGCCAGTGGTAGAAGACCTCCTGCGTGACGAGCCCGGACTTGTCCTCGTCGATGGCCTCCATGAGCGCGTCGATCTCCATGGACGACGTCTCGACGCCCGCCTCCGTGATCGCGTTCGCCAACTCCTGCCGGTCGAGCGCGCCGGAGCCGTCCGCGTCGATGGCGTTCCAGTAGGCGTTGAGGCCCATGTCGTTGCGGTGCATGGAGTCCCGCAGGGCGCACCGCAGCATGTGGAGCCGGTACTCCTGGCTGTAGAACGCGCGCAGCTCCGTGAAGAGGTCCGCGCCGCGGTTCGCCTTCTTCCGCCGCCGGAGCCGCGGCAGCGCGCCGAGGTCGAGGGACCGGGCGCGCGACCGGTTGCCGCTCTTCATGTTGAACCCGGGCAGGTAGGGCTTCGCCGCGAGCTTCTTCGTCGGGAACTTCTCCCGGATCCACTTGGGCGGGTGCTGGACCTTGTCGATGTTGTCGCTCGACAGGGACCGCTTCAGGCGCCAGACGGGGCGCTCCGGCCGGTCGCCGTCGGCGGGCGCCGGCGCCGGCGCGGCGGCGTCCGCCATGGGTGCGAGGTTTGTCCGGCGGGGCTGCCTACGAACGCTGGGACAACACGATGTCCATCGTCGCGCGCTGATTCTTAGGCCAATATGTGCCTCTTTGTCAACGTTGACGGTGCACTTCGTGTTGCCGCACGAGGGCGTGGCTAGCTAGCCCCACCAGCGAGCACTTCGGCGCCAGGTGCTGTTGGTGGCCGTGCGCGGCTCGCGCACCGCCGTCTCGCAGCGCTAGAAGCTCGCGGACGCTTCCAAGCCCTCCCGGCCGCGCCGCACCGCGCGCTTCCGCGCCATGGGCGACTTCTCCGGGCGCGAGCCCTGCCCGTACCGCATTTTGGACGACATCGGCGGCGCCTACGCCATGGGCGCCGTCGGGGGCTCGATCTGGCACTTCGTCAAGGGCTGGCGCAACGCGCCGAAGAACCAGGGCTTCAGCGGCGCCATCGAGCAGGTCAAGGTCCGCGCGCCCGTCGTCGGCGGCAACTTCGCCGTCTGGGGCGGGCTCTTCGCGTGCTTCGACTGCTCCCTCGTGGCCGTGCGGCACAAGGAGGACCCCTGGAACTCGATCCTCGCCGGCGCGGCGACGGGCGGCGTCCTCGCGGCCCGCGCGGGGCCCAAGGCCGCGGGCAAGAACGCGCTGGTCGGGGGCGTGTTGCTCGCGCTCATCGAGGGCCTCGGCATCCTCATCACGAAGATGATGGCGCCGCCTTTGGCGTCCAAGGACGACCTGAAGCACAGCGCCGACCCGACGGCGCCGCCGACGGCGCCGGGCCTCGCGCCGCCCGTCGCGTTCCCCCAGGGGTTCTCGCAATAGGCCCCGGGGCGCGCGCTTAACCGCGACTTTGAGCTTGCCGACGTGCTTACTGCATCGGGATGAGCCCCCCCGCGGCGGCGCCGGGGGCGGCGTCCTCCGCGGGCGCGGGCGCGGCGGCGACGGCCTCGACGACGTCGCCCGTCGCGGCCTGGACGAGGTCCCGGAGCGTCTCCTTGGACACGACGCTGGACTCGTCGGGCAGCGTCGAGTTCATGCCGCTCGCCGTCGACTGCTCGTCGCGCGCCTCGAGCCACCAGTCCGTCTCGACCTTGTTCACGTAGGCCTCGCGCGCGTCCGCGTCGAAGAGCGCCGCGGTCTCCCGAAGGTTCGTACTGAGCACGGGCGTGTGGGGCCGCGCCGTCGCCTGGGCGTCGGCGCGCTGGGCCGCCATGGCGCGCTGGTAGTCGCGCCCGAGGCTCAGCCGCTCCGTGTTCTCGATGGCCTCCGCCGGCGTCTCCGGCGGGCCGAGCTGGAGCACGTCGTCGAGCGTGAGGAGGCAGTAGAGCAGGTTCTCGACGGCGGCGGCGCAGCGCTCGTGGACCGCCGGGTCCACGCGGAGCGCGAGGAAGGGGCTCACGGAGAGGCCCGCGGACGGCGGCGGCCGCTGCGCGAGCTGCGGCGTCGTCGGCCGCAGGCGCCCGAGGTCGTCGTCCTCGCCCGAGTGGACCGTGCCGTCGCCGTCGAGGCGGAAGAGGGGCGCCGGCGACGGCGGCGCCGAGGGGTCCGGCGGCGGCACGGCCGACGGCGGCCGCGCGCGGTCCGATAGCGGCGCCGCGGACGCCGCGGACGGCGCCGCGGCCGCGGGCGCGGGCGCCGCGGAGGCGAGGGACGAGGCGCTCGGCCGCTCCGCGGCGGGCGCCCTCCCCGGGCTCTCGACGCGGTCCGCGCCGACGATCGCGCCGAGCAGGATGTCGTCGAGCGGCAGCTCGAGGCGCCTGCGTGGACATCAAATCTTGGACCCGACTTCAATGTGCGCGTATGCGACCGTTTCGACGCAGGGCTTTCTGCTGTGCTTCGAGAACTCGATGAGAGCCATCGATTCGTCCAAAAATCAGCCGAATCGACTTCGATGTGGCCGAGCTAGAGAGTTCCGAAGTTTGGCGGGGACCCCCGAACCGGCGGTTGAGTTCCACGCGGCGAGGCGCCGCGCCGCGCGCACGGTCTCGAAGAGCGCGTCGGCGATCGTCGGCCGCGCCAGCTCGACGATCGTGAAGAGCTCGCCGCCGATGTCGGCGACGACCTTCGTCGCGGTCCGCGCGCAGCAGTCGTGCGCGGTGACGGCGCACGCGCGGAGGAGGTAGCACGCGTCCGTCTCCGACAGGCGGTAGTCGCTGCTCGGCGGCAGCGACAGGCGGTCGCGCACGCTCCGGAAGGTCTCGAGCGCGTGGCAGATGCCGCCGACGAAGCGCTCGCCCTCGAAGCGCGCGAAGTCGCAGAGCGCGTGCTTCCTCGTCTCCGCGTCGAGCTGCGCGCGCGGGTCGTCGGGCCGGTGCCAGCCGCTGGAGACCCGGACGTAGCGGAAGGTCTCGTCGTCGCTGCCCCGGCGCATCCAGTGCCACGAGTCGGGGCCGCAGCGCAGCAGCCGGTTCGGCCGCCCGTCGGCGTAGCGCGGCGGGATCTCGAACTCGAGGCGCCGCAGGCGCTCGAGCTCCTCGGCGCTCCGCGTCACCGGGCCCATGAGCTTCTCGAGGTGGACGCTCATCTTCGAAGGGGTACCGCCGGGCTCGCGTTCAAAGCCTGGGAATTCACGAGCTAACCATCACCATAGCGCGGCCGAAGATGTTGAACTTTTACGTGAAGCGGCAACGATGTGATGGCCCGGCGGCGGCACGAGGCCATCGTCGCGGCGCTCGTCGTCGCGGCGTGCTGCAAGTTCCTCTGGCAGCCGCCGCCGCGGCCGGCGCCGGCGCCCCGGAGCGCTTCGAAGCGACCGACCGCCGTCGAGGTCGCGGCGCCGGGACCGCATGACTTCGAGGCCGTGGCGCTGCCCGCGACGCCCTTCGCGGCCCACGACCAGACCTGGGCGCTCTACGACGCCTTCGCCAGTGCGCGCGACGGCTGCGCGACGGCGACGCTCGTCGCGCAGTTCGAGGGCGACGAGACCTGGCGCCTCGCGGTGCTGAAAGACGCGGGCATCGACGGCTGGGCCGCGAGGCGCGCCGCGCTGCGCGCCGAGCACAAGGCCTGCGAGGTCTGCATCGCCGGCGCGCTCAACATCCGCCGGGGCACGCGCGACGCGGCGGCGCGGGCCTTCGAGCGCCGCGGCGGCGCGCCGCGCGCCGTCGAGTGCGCGTTCGGCGAACCGGGGCGGCCGCCGGGCCCGTGGGTCCCCGCCGCGGCCCTCGACGGCGCCTGGGCGAGGCACAAGTCGACGCTCGTCGTCGAGTGCGCCGTGCCGCCCGAGCACCGCGCCGCGGCCTGCCGCCGCGGCGGCGCCGTCGAGGTCCGCGCGCGCGACGCGGGCGACGCCGCGAAGCGGCCGCACCCGGCCGTGCCGCTGCTCCTCCAGCGGCCCCTCTTCGCCGACGGCGACGCCCGGAGACTCGGCGCCTGCGCCTGGACGCGCGGCGACGCCTTCCTCGAGCGCGCGCTCGGCCGCGCCGTCGGCGGCCGCGGCGGCGAGCCGTCCGCGGCGCGAAAGCTCGCCGAGTGGCTCGCGTTCCACCGCGCCGCGGGCGTCGGCGCCTTCCGCGTCTACGACAACTCCGCCGGCGTCCACGGCGCGGGCCTCGCCGGCGGCCTCGGCGCCGCGGCCGCCGCGTCGCCGCTCCGGCCCGCGACGGCGCCGCTCGCGGCGGTCGGCGCGCTCGAGGTCCACCCGTGGCCCGAGGACCAGGCCCTGGACCGCGCCGTCGCCGCGGCCACGGAGGGCAACCTGACGGCCCAGTCCTTCTTCGGCCGGCCGAGCCAGTACGCGGCCATGAACTCCTGCCACCGCCGCATGCGCGCGGCCGGCGCGGCGTGGGTCCTCCACGCGGACGTCGACGAGTACGCGGTCCCCGCGCGCGGCGGCGAGGACCTCGCGGACGTCGTCGCGCGCCGCGGCCGAAACGACGGGGGCATTGTCGACGCCTACGCCATGCCGTCGCTCTTCTACGCGCGCTGCCCCGGCGACGACCGCGCGGCCGCGACGCTCCTCGGCGCCGCGACGTGCGCGGGCAAGGCGACGATGCACCGGCGCAAGCTCCTCGCGAGCGCGGACCGCGTCCACTACGTCTGGGCCCACTACGTCTACCTCTCCGCGTCCCCCAAGAAGAAGGACGCCGTCGCCGTGCTCGACCCGGGCGACGACGCGCGCCTCGTCCACGTCCGCGCGGGCTACGACCTCGGCGACCCCTTCGCGGCGCGCGCGGTGTTGGGGGGGCAGTACGGCGCGGCGTCGGCGGAGGACCGGGACCGCTACGCCGCCACGGTGACGCCGCGGCTTTCGGGGGCGACGGGCGTTTCGTGCGACGACGCGCCGACGGCGCCGCCCGTCGCCGTGCCCAAGGCCAGGAGCATGCGCGACCGCATCCGCAACGAGGCGCTGCTGCCGCTGACGCGCTGCGACGACGAGGCGCCGTCCTGGCTCTGGTGCTGGTGCCGCGACGCGCGCGCGAGCGCGGTCTGGGGGCCGCGGGTGGCGGCGATGCTCGGGGACGTGTGGGGGGCGGCGGGGGTCACCTAAAACCGAGTTACGCGGGCCTAGAAGTCCGTGTTGGGCTTCGGGAACATGTCGTCGAAGCCCCCGAAGTCGTCGTCGTCGCCGCCGCCCCGGCTCTTCCGCGGGTAGTCCTTCGACTGGCTCATCTTGAACGCGTGCTTCTGCTTGCTGTGCGTCGCGCTCATGGGGTTGACGCCCTCGAGCGCGGAGTCGCTCCGTTGGAACCCCCGCGCTTCGGACATCTCGTAGCCCGCCATGGGATTGTTCCCCGCGAAGCTCGAGTCGCGCTCGCCGTAGCCCGCGGCGCCGCTGACGCCCGCGCCGCCCTGGAGCTGGGCCTCGGCGCGCATCTTCACGCCCGCCATCGGGTTCGCGCCGGCGACCGTCGACTCGCTCTTGCCGTAGCCCGCGGCTTTGCTGACGTTGTAGGACTCGCTGTCCCGCGCGCGATTCGCGCCCATGGGGTTGCTGCCGCCGACGACGCTCCCGCGCGCGTCGAAGCCCGCGTCCTCGCCGACGTTGTAGTCCTGCGCGCCGCGCGCCCGCGCCTTCGCCATGGGCGATTCGGCCCCGAACGTCGACCCGCGGCCGCCGGCGAAGCCGTCCGCGCCGCCGAGCTCGGGCTCGTCGTCCGCGCCCCGCGCGACCATGACGACGCGCTTCACGTAGCAGTAGACGACGAGGAGCAGCACGTAAGCCAGCGCCCCGAAGAGCGCGACGACCTCGCCGCCGTTCATGTTCCCGAGCAGCGTGTCCTCGGGCTCGTAGACGATGTAGAAGTCGTCGTCGCCGTCGTCGTCGGAGAAGCACCCGACGGGCACGACCATGTTGTCGAGGTCGCCGATGTTGTCGTACGAATAAAAACCGATGTCCGCGTGGATGTTCCCCCGCACGACGATGTCGATCTCGCCCGCGTCGTCGAAGCACGACATGCCCAGGTCCCAGAGCGACGACGCGCCGTCCCACGACGACTCGTGCTTCGCGATGACCTCGACGCGGATCTTCTTCTCGTCGCCCGGGTCGATCTTGAAGGGGTCGACGACGACGATGCCGAGCTCGTAGCCGTCGACGGTCTCCACGGAGAACTCGAGACCGTCGGAGAAGTAGACGCTCCAGAGGAAGTTGTGGTCGATGAGCGTGACGTCGAGGTAGCCCGCGACCGTCATCTGCGCGTCCCAGACGGACACGTCCTCGAGCCAGATCTCCGACGCGCCGAACCAGACCTCGGGCTCCGAGGGGTACATGGCGGCGCAGGTCACGCACAACAAGGTCGCCAGGTTGAAGGACAGCCAGAACCCCAGATGGGCCTTTTTTTGCTTCTTCTTCGTCATCGACTTGCGGACCGTCCGGAAGCACATCTGGCTGCACGTGCCGCAGCAGCAGCACAGCGACAGGCAGCCGATGGCCGCCAGGATCATGCCGCCGACGTTCGTGTGGCCCATGGTCACGGCCGTCTCCGAGCTGTGCGCGCTGTAGTCGACGGACGACGTCGGCGGCGACGTCCGGCCGCACGTCTCCGCGAAACAACCAAAATCCTCGCCGCAGAAGCACGGATAGCCCGCGTCGCAGACGCAGCGCGAGTCCTCGCAGGAGTAGTGGTCCTCCTCCGTCGCCGACCCGCAGTAGAGCATGCACGTCTCGCCCGGCGCCTCGGCGCACGTCTCCGGCACGGGCGTCGGCCACGGCGTGTCGTAGGGGCACGCGCTGAGGTCGTAGTAGTCGCCGTCGCCGCAGTAGCAGTCGAAGCCGTCCTCGCCGACGCAGACGCCGGCGAGGTAGTCGCACGTCGAATGCTCGCCGTCGCAGCCGCTGAGCAGCGAGCACGTCCGCGCGTCCGCCTGGCAATTCCGCGACGCGACGGCCGGCGCGAAGGTCGGGAGCGTGAAGCTCGGGCAGGAGCTCGCCGCGTGGCAGTTGCCGTCGCCGCAGAAGCACGGGTGGTCCTCGTCGCATTCGCACTTCTGCTCGAGGACGTCGCAGCTCCGGTACGCGCCGTCGCAGCTCATGAAGCACTCCTCCGTGTCCACCAGGCACTGGTTGTTGAGGAAGACGGGCGCGATGGACGGCGCGGGCGTCGTCGGCGCGGGCGTCGGGCAGTGGGGGCCCGCGAAGCAGGCCATCTGCTCCTCGCAGAAGCAGGGTGTTTCCTCCTCGCAGTAGCACTTGTAGTCGCCCGAGATGATGTTGTTGCTGCAGTAGGCGTTCTCCGCGTCGCAGTAGAACGTGCAGTCCTCGACGTAGAGGTCGCACATGTGGTGGTTCGGCGCGCCCGTCGGCGTCAGCGTCGACGGCGACGGCGTCGGCTGGGGCGTCGGCGTCGGCGTCGGCGCGGGCGTCGGGCAGAAGGGCCCCGCGACGCACGACATCGTCTCGGGGCAAAAACAGGGGAATTCTTCCTCACAATGGCACTCCCAATCCCATCCGCAGTCGGCGTTCTCCGCGTTGCAGTACAGCGTGCAGCTCTCGACGTAGTCCTCGCACCCGTGCGCGTTCGGCGCCGGCGTCGGCGCCGGGCCGTCCGACGTCGGGTACTTGGTCGGGTCGCGCGTCGGCTCCGGCGTCGGCTCCGGCGTCGGGCAGAAGTCCGCCGCGGTGCACGCCATGAGCGACGAGCAGAAGCAGGGAAATTCCTCGTCGCAGTGGCACATCCAGTCCGCGTCCGAGAACACGTTGTTGCTGCACCAGGAATTCTCCGCGTCGCAGTACACCGTGCAGTCCTCGACGTAGTCCTCGCACATGTGCTTGTTCGGCGCCCACGTCGGCGCCGCCGTCGAGGGCGCGGGCGTCGGCGCGGGCGTCGGCCGCGGCGTCGGCGCGGGCGTCGGGCAGTAGGGCTCGACGTGGCACGACATCGTCTCGGAGCAGAAGCAGGGGAACTCCTCCTCGCAGTAGCACTTGTAGTCGCCCGAGAAGATGTTGTTGCTGCAGTAGCTGTTCTCCGCGTTGCAGTAGAACGTGCAGTCCTCGACGTAGACGTCGCAGGTCGCCGGGATGCCGTCGCTCTGGGCCCGGACGACGGCGACGGCCGTCGCGAGGGCGATGGAGCGGAGCATCTCCGACGTTCCCTGTCGAGGCTGAGCCGCGGCGGGGGCTTCCGGTGGACCTGGCTGTGAGCACGAGGCAGCCCGACGGCAGAGCGAGACCAGAAGCTCGCCTCACCCCAAGGGCAGGCCAAGACCGCAGCCAGCCGCCCAGGGCCGACCCAGCCAGCCAGCCAGGGACGTCCAGTCCACGAAACGGCCCCTCGCTACAACCTCTACAACGCGCGCCTACGGCGCGCCGCGCCGTCCTGGGGCGGCTGCGGCGACCGGCTGGCCGCCGGCCACGCGCGTCGGCGCTCGCGCTTCCGTCACCCCCGGCGGGCCACTCCGGGCGCCTAATTAGATTTTGACATGATTCCCGCGCGAAAATCGCAAGATTTGCACATGCAACGTCTACATTGAAGAAATGGGTGGCTGCCAGCGACCGAGCCAGCCAGCCAGCCAACATTTACCTTGCGGTCTGCCAAACCGGCCCTGGGTCGAGGATTGTTATTGTGGACTGCCCTTGCCTCACCCGTGAGCACGGCGCACGAAACGCGGTATCGGCTGATGGTGCACTGACGCTGCAGCACACCCAAACGAGCGATTAAAAGCTCGCACAGCAGT